GTGTCTGTGGTGATGTTTTCAACAACTGCTAGACTTCCAATTATGCAGTTACGTGAGCACCTCGTGAAAATCGTGTCAAAGCTTGAGGAGCAAAGTGGAACAACCTTGAGCCCTACGGCGTTTGTTCACTACAAAAAAATGAGGACAGAGCTAATGGCAGGAAACAAAGAGGTAAAAGGGTCAGAATAGACAGCTTGATGTCGTGACGTTGCACTAAGATAAGTATGAACACACCAGTATGTCACCGTGTCTTCTCTCATTATTTTGATTTATTTCTTGCTTAGCTGCTTTAAATACGACTGAAAAGATCCAAGTTGAGACAACTGAACACACTCCAACTGTTTAGATGTCTTTAAAATGTAAATAAGACCCTAATTAGTTTTATTATAGTATAAATCCCTAACCTCAAACAGCTTCTGCCCGCAAAGGACAAAAAACAACCCAGCTAACATATAATTAAAACTCCTGATAGACACTTCCCTGACATTTGTCAACAGGAGTTGTGTTGATGAAGCAGAAGGAGTGTCGTTCTGCACGTACACTAACTGCCTCTCTAAGTAAGGACATTGTAATGAACTCTCTGTAGTGTCGAAGGATTACCACACAGACAGAAAGACTACAGACGTCTCGAGACAGAGAAGACTGACAGATGCAGTAAGGTTGATGACGCATGTATATGACTCTAGGTAAGCTCACTGAACATCTGCATGGAGTAGAAAGCAGTCAGCAGACGTGCATCATGACTTTGGCAGCACTTTCTCTGGCTGAGAGTGAACATTATAGATCCATTTATGGTATGACGTATTAAACTGGAATTATGAGCAGTAATCTATAGCATACATGTGAGGTAAAGGAGAGAATGGAGAGACGGCCACCTATCCTTTTATCACATTTGATACAGAGTCAATAATTTGAACAGTTTGGCCAACACTGTAGTCATGTTGATAGGTAAACAATTAAATGATTATTGCAATAATTTAAAACAAATACATTGTAAGGAATAAAGCTGTATCTCTACTTTGTTTTTGTCTTTGATACAGGGTTGTGTGAGGTGCTTGTCAAGCGTACATGTATAACCCACAGGGGATGCCTGTCAGCTCAGCCCTCTTGTTGAGGAACCAGCATAGGAGTGAGGTAACTCCTACAGATGTGTCAACTCTGAAATACGTCATGAATATCATTTTCAGAAAGGCTGAGCCTAACACTGATGTTGGTGTAAGTGAATCATTTGTACATTTATTCATTCAGTCAGTGACGTACAGTCAACCCAGCTTTTGTCAAGTGCACTCCATAAATGTTGAGATCTTTGCTTTCAGCGGTTTACATTATGTCTTTTGACGAGGTTTTCTGAGGTTATCCTTTCATCATTTGTCATGCCTACTTCTCTTAACTTTTCTGTACCATATCTCCTGAACCATAAGCAGAATTTTAAAATTCAAATGGTTCACGAAAATAGAAAACCAGAGTTTCCAATGATGTATAGTATAATATATCTACCGTTTCAGTAAAGTGGCATAAAATCAACAATAAACCCAGGCAGACTGAATATAACTGGACATAAGTGAGTCAACCTTATGTGTGCATTTGCCTGCAGATTGTTGTCATGCATTCACTTTAACATAAAACACGAGGAAATATAGGTAAGTGTCTGTAAATTACCTTTAAAATGAACACGAGGTTGAGCTTCCATAAGGGTATATAGAGAAGAAACCCATCATATCTCAACTGATAACAGTACTGCAGCTAGAATGGTACATTATTTCTTTATTTATCAAACTGCTAAACATACTGTATGTCCCCATATTTCCAGCTTTCTAATAGATGTCTGCAAACAGTGTGTGATTGAATCAAATGTGTCTGATAGAGATAAGAACAATCCTCCTGTATCTAAGTGCATGAAAAATAACAGCAAAGCAATACAGTCCAGTCATAATCTTTATATTAAGATGCAAACATAAACATGCTTTTGTTGTTTTAGTGTAATTCATCTTGAAATGAACTAGAACTGTTTGGTATTTTTGAGCAGAGATGCTGGAAGAGCAAACAGTCAACATAGACTGCAGACAGATAGAGTGACAGCAGAGGAAGGTATGTGAAGACTGATTCATGACTCACCTCACCTCACCTCGCCTCAGCTCAGCTCAGCTCAGCTCAGCTCACACGGGCCCGTCTGCATGAAGGGCACATCAGGTTGTTGGAGTCTGGGCGTGCATACAAAACGAAACTTTCTTTCTGAACGGAAGTTAGAACTTTTATGAATGTTGGGGTCTATATAGAAATGCAGCCTATCCTGTCACTGTGCGAGCATGCTTCATCAGGTTTTTGTGATGAATTTGAAAGATAAGCTTTTAAAGACGCAAGATATGAGATTTGGCCACAGGATCACAGAGGAGACAGTATATGATTGATGAATATATTTATGGTAATATTTTTGAAAAGTGGAAAGAAAACATTACGACAAGGTCTGACGTACAGCACTGCTGACATTTTTGGAGCCCAAATTGTGCAGCAGTGATCGGCTAGTCGAGTCTCAATATTGACGTCTTTACCGAACTATCACTCAATCAACTTCCCTCTGCCTGACAGCCCACAGTTCAACAGCTTCCATGTTTTGAAGTATGAATCCCACACACCCCAAAAGTTTAGCAGGTCTTTAGTTAGCATTCATTAAATTCCACCATGCCAACCCTCCTCTGTATTCTAGCGCACACAGTTGTCACTTAGTTACTAATAATTAAACTTTCCAGAAATAGTATCTAGTCCTCGATGTTCAGGTCAGAGTCTGAGTCACCAAAGATGAATCCATGTAAAGTCAAAATCAAGTTCTACATCCAAGCCCAAGTTTGAGTCATCAGGTGTATTATTTAACAAAAAAGGAGCACCTCTGTTTCACCCAAAACTTTTCACTGTGTGGACCTGGAGTGACCGTGGAACCTTTTGGATGTGAGGAAGACTCATTTCTTTAATCCCACCAGTTTCTTTGGCATACCTGGAGATTTTAATTGTAAAAAAACTTAGACCTCTGAGTGTCGTGTGTATCTGCAAACCAAGGGCCACGGTCAATGACTCTCCTGTGGTGAGATCATTAAGAGGTGTGTGCATCTTAACTGGTCTCACTGGTCAATTTCATAACAATAATTAATTCAGTATCACAATGTGTTGCATACCTGACAATGAGTTGCATTCTCATTTTCTTAGTTTACATAAATGTCTTGAAACCAAAGAGTAACAACAAGCTGGTTCTTATGGTGCTGGTTTCCATCTGCGTCAGTTTTGTAGCATAGTCCAACTGGATTTTTATATAAATCAGTCATTCAGAGGTTACAGTTAATTCAAAATGCAGCTGCATGTATTCTCACTGGTAACAAAAAATATCAACACATCACACCCGTTCTCAAATCTTTACATCTGCTACCGGTTAGAACAAGAATCGATTTCAAAATATTCCTCCTGGTTTACAAAGCACTACATGGCCTTGCACCTCAGTACAGCACAGATATGTTCATCACCTACACCCCAGCAAGAACACTTCTGTCAACAGGCAGTGGCAACTTACTCATCCCTAGCACCAGCTCCAAAGAAGGGGAGGCAGCTTTTAGTGTTTATGCCCCACAAAAATGGAACACCCTGCCTGACACAGCTAGACATGCCACATCAGTAGCCATCTTTAAAAACAGATTAAAAATCTTTTTCTATGGAATTCTGTTGAACTGTGTGTGTGTGTGTATGTGTGGTCATATGTGAGTGCGTGCGCATGTACGAGTTTAAGTGTACATGCAGTGAAGTTGTCTACTTGCACTTACACTCTTAAATTGATTTCTAATGGATTTTTATATAAATGTTCTTTTTAACTATGTATACCTGTTGTGAAGCACATTGAGTCTGCCTTTATAAATAAAGTTGAATTGAATTGAATTGAAAATAAATAAACTGAATAATAATAATAATAATAACAATAATAATAATAATAATAATAATAATAATAATAATGGTGAAGGAGCCCAAAACTAGACTCCAAATTCAGTTCAAAAGACGTGACAATCAGGATTGGAGCCGACCTCCAGTCGGACTACGCAACAAAACTGACATAGATGGAAACCAGCACCATAAGAACAAAACCCATGTTTGTGTTTAGTTTAGTTTATACATTTTGTAGTCCGCCACGTGACCCATCTGTTGAGGAAACAGGCTTCAGTCAGTCAGTATAAAGAACTCCAAATATTTGACCTTCACTTCAGGAGGAAGTCACATGCTGTCCTACTTTTAAAAGAGTTTGTGGTTTGGACCAAGAGGCCACGCTCTGCTTTCTGGCTTAAACTTCAAATGTTTCTGAGTTCATAAAATAGGACTATAAAGTAACCAGTTCCTTTAGATGAGCCCCAGGCTGCAACACCCTTTTTATTCTCACCTGCTGAACCAAATACAGGATTCAGATACAGGAATGTTTTGTTATACTCGCCCGGGGGCAGCATCATGAAAACACCCAGACTGTTATGAGCTTGAACGTGAGTCCAGCAGTTTGGATATTTTAACGTTGATATAATTAAGATAACAATGGGCCAGAAGAAACATGTTTATTCCGATCGGCATGGCCTGCACGGTTGTTTCCCAATCATGTAATTTAGAAGCCCCACCTGCCAGCAGTGTTTACAGAAATCAATAACAAATAAAAAGGCAGAGTGATGAAGAGTTTGAATTCACCTTTCTCATCATAGATACTCAAATGAGTTATTTCCTAAACTCATGCTTGAATTTGATGAGTTCTGAACTTTGTTGTTAATGTAAAATAATTGAGCTTGAATGATAGAAAAACATGCAGCATTTCAGTGTTGTGGCTCCTACTCATGTGCCATAGTTCTTCAGGGGCGGGGCGTGAACAACGGAGCCTTGCTTGATTGGCTAACCTCCACTAATATGCAAATATGGTGTCAGAGAAAGCCCCACCTCTGTGTTAAAGTCTGCATGTCAACTCCGAGGAGAGAGCAGAAACACACGAGACTCTGGATCTTAACTTTTCATCTGGAGGGTATTTGACAAAAACACATGGTGGTTTTCCATCGGTAAGTACAATTTGTGTTCAAATAATAACCTTTCTCACATTTTGAATGGAAAAGTATAATCAGAAGTTTTTTCATTTATGTATTAATTCATGATTTCTGTCTGCAGATTTGTCTAAATCCACTGCAGCCACAGTCGACAGACTTAACCCAGCCGGAGAATGAACTGTACAAGGTGAGTTACTGAGCTTTGTGTTCAAACTGGGATGATTTCCTTCTCTGGGATGATAGATGTCACTCTAACCCCTGTCATGTTGTCTTTTTTAGAGTTCTCAGTGCTCTCGGGGGTTATCCCCAGCCGGCTGTGATACCCGTTGACCTCGCCTTGTGCCTGAGCCAACGTCAATCCCTGTATGAGCTGCTGTCCATGTCTCCTCTGAAACCAGCTGAGCAGAGCTGTCGGCCTGCCCGCTGTCTGCAGAGGGCTGCCAGCCTCCATGCATCGCACCACTTACCTTCTCCCTCCCACTTTCAACCTTCACTCCTGCCCTCAGTCCCTGTGGCTTCAGGACCACGGAGCTGTTTTCGTAAAGACAGCAGCGGTCAGATCAAGAAGCGCGTTGTGTTTGCAGATGCTAAAGGCTTGGCCCTCACTGCCGTACGTGTGTTCATCCCTGACTCCTCCATCCTCACTTCTACCTTGGTGAGACCTGTCAAGACCAAAGTGCAAAGCCAACAGTGGGTGTCTAACAAACTTCAACAACAGCCGCTCTTCAACAACCTGCAACATCAGACAACTTCACATAAGTTGCAGCGTTACAAGTTCCGGCTGGGTTTCCCTCAGCCAGCTCCGGACGTTTCTCTCGCTCATCTGCGGGAGAAGCGGGTACAGCTGGAAAGTTGCAGCATTACAGAAAACTCCCTGAGCGGTTCGGCGCGTGTTTCGCATGTTAGTGCCGAAAAGGCCGTACACGTGAGGGTGACCTTTGACTCTTGGAAGAGCTACCATGACTTTCCCTGCACGCTCCTGAAGCAGCAGCGTTTCGGCGGCTCAGAGGTGGACGTTTTCGCCTTTGACCTGAACTTACCAAAGATTGTGGATCCAGAGGAAAGAATCGAGTTCTGTATTTCGCTCAGAACAGGAGCCGGATCAACAATACACTGGGATGACAACAATGGACAGAATTACAGGGTGTATGTGGAGAAAGACAGAGCTAATGCTAACGGTCATTACTCCACACTTACAAAATACCAACCTCTGTCTTGGCCCACACATGTGTCCCTGCAGAACTATGCTGACCCCCAGTACTTCCAGAACAGCTTATCAAGAAGACTCAGAACAGAGTGGGATTCTGTGTTCAGCTGATAGAGCCCGTTCTTATTTAATTAAACTTTGTAAAAATAAAACAGTAACTTATTTATTTGACCTGGATCTGGACTTTCTGGAAAATGAGTTAGCCATGTTAGCTAAAACACCCTGCTGAAATGTGAATATTTCATCCTGATCTCATGTCATCTTTAAATTAAAAAAAAGAAACTCTAATTTTTGTTCTCTGGTCTTCTCTCAGAAATAATATCATGTTACACCTTCCTCTTGACAAATGCAGCTCAGATTTTACTGCAGCACAAAGTGAGAGTGACACAAACGCCCTGATTCAGATACAGGGGCCCTCCAGGGGAACGAAAACACAAAACCTGCTTTTCTTTTAACAGGTAACACATGCATCAGCACACAAAGAGATGATCTTATTCTGAGAACATTTTGATCTCTTAGCTTGTAACCGGTTTTCCATCAGCAAAGTGAACAAATCTTAAAAAAAAGACCCTTAGCATATGATGTATTCTCACAGTTATTGTCTCTCTTGGCTCAGGCTCAGGTTTCCGGTGTGTCTTTTCATCAGGTTTGTCATGCATACCAGACAGAATAAGTCAACAAACTGACACTAGATCTCCTGGGTTAAGTGGCACACATGATTTACATGAGAGGGCCTGTCCCGAACACTCCCCCTCCTGCTGTGAAAGTGGAAGAACAAGCTGGGAGTTGTTACTTTTCGTTCTGGACGTGACAAGTTTGGCAAAATAGTGAGTAACCATGGCAGCATCTGGTTTGAGCTTCTTAGGCTGCGTTGGCAAGTGTTTACAAGTACGGGTGGAGTCATGATTAGATTCAGAGGCAGCCAGGGTGAGAAAATCTCTGTCTGGCTCTCACTTCCCACTCCTTCTTAGTCACCTCTCAGTTAGACCTGTTTCTTTCTTCTCTCTCAAGGAAGTCTCTCACCTGGACGACTTCACCGAGCCAAAAACTGAGTGATACCATAATGTGAGCGGTCTGCACGTGGAGCCGGTTTACACGCCTAGAATCCAAAACGCCTGACTTCTTTTTATTTTATGAAGAAGTAACAATTAACGCTCTTTGTGGTATGCTTAGGAGTTGTGAGGAATTCATAATTAATAATGAATAAATAACAGTCCAAATTGTAATAAAAAGACCCCAAAAGAAGGGGCTTGTACTGCATCAAAAAAGGGGGTAAATGTGGTGGAAATCACTAATAACTGCTTTAAAACAAAAACAGTATCTGTGAACGCAGTTTGTTGCTGCATCCACAATGTCCAAACTGATCTCAGTCTTCAGACAGCTGATTGGTCAGACTGCGTTCTCTTGATTGGTTGGAAGAAAAACCCGCAGCCACACCGTCCCTTTGTGGAATAGTTTGGACATGCCCGAATGGACCATGGCAGAGTAGGAGACTGTGCTGTGCTGTCTGCTGAATCCAGATTTGACGTTCTTTTTGGAAATCATGGACACCACATCCTCAGCCACCAGACTTGTTATCAGCACACTGTTTGAGAGTCAGCCTTTGTAATAGTAAGGAGATGTATAACAGCCGATGGCAGGGGTAGATCTCACATGTGTAAAATCACAGTGTACTGTGTGAAGGGATTGGAGCAGCACATGCTGTCTTTGTTTTTCTGAAAAGACCAGGTTTAACCTCGTTCTGTTTACATTACTACAACATGGCGCCATATTGAAGATACTAAACTGGCCTGCCTGCAGTCCCAACTTGTCACAATCGTCCTCTGGGGTTCAGGAACAAGTGCTGGTACAGAGTTCTGCCATCATTACACTTTAAAACGTACACACTGCACCCAACAAGGCCTCCCGGCGTGTCATTACACATGACATTACAATGCTGCAGGACAATGAGGGGCACGTCTTGTTAACGCACAACAGGAGCTCCACATGTACACACACACACACACTCAAATATGCACGCACACACAGCACTGTTCCTCCAGCTGGGATGTTACACGTGATCTTCCCCCCATTCAACCTTTATTACTACCTCCAGGGAAGGATCAGAGGTGGATCAGATGACGTCAACGCACCGTTTAGCTTTCAGTTGCAACGCATTGCAGATGAGGCTTAACCGGGGCGTTCACATCCCGCCTTGAAATCATCGTATGTTTGCACCTATTGAAGACACTTAAGGAATTAAGTTAGTGACAAAAGAAACCCTGTGCTGTTGAGCAGCTGAAATCCCACATTAGACAAGATAATATAAGGTCAAGTCCAGAAACTCAACTCCTCCAGTCTCGAATGTTTGCTGAGAGTTGTAGAAGAAGAGAGGATGACCCTGTCCCAAATGTTTTTGGATTTTGTTACGGGTATAAAACAGGTTTTTTCATCACAGAGCAGAAGCTGTTGTGTAATGTTGGGAGCCTTCAGTCTTTTGTCTCCCATACTCTGAAGTTTCTTTATGTCACATAACTGAGGGCAAATTATTGTACTGTGAGTAACTATTATTATTTAATATTATATAAGTAATTATTCCAATAATTAAAGCATCTCATTCAGATCAAGCATGAGAAGAGATGATTAAAACTCTAATTTTTTATTAACACAAAAGGTTACTATGACTCGCAGTAATTAGGGCTCATTAGAGGTCAATGTTGAGGCGTGAACCACATAGTTGCGAGCTGCTAAACAAGAATCAAGTCGTGGACTTAATATGATGTCAAAACCCTCTTCCTCGGGTCTCTGCTCTGACCGTCTTATTCCAATACTCTCAAAGTTAATGGTTTAAAGTCTGAGAGAAAAAGAGAACCAGTAATTTTTACTTAGTTTTGCTGGTTCAGAGCAGCACTAAACATGTTTTTTCATTTTATGTCAAAGCTGTCTTTCTACTGTGAGCCAAGTTTGGAGAGGACCAGAATTTTTGGTGATTTTTATCTCTGATCTGAACCAAAAACAACTTCACTTCACCTCACTTCAACTTCATTATGTCCCAAAAATGGGCAAATGGGGTTGCAGCAGGTACAGACATTTAAAACACTGCAGTACATCATAAAAATAAATAAATAAAATAAAATACAGATCAGGAGGTAAAAAGTATTAAAGATGATTTAGAAGGTAAAAAGAAAAGCATATGTTAGTCATACCAGTACTTTTGCATGAACAGAGTGCATAAGATAAAATGCAGAAACAAAGTGCAATGTGTGGTTTGCTTACCAATATAGGACCCCTAGAGGAAGCTTGATCTTTAATAACAATAATAATAATAATAATAATAAACACCATATGCTATCAGAAACAGTTATCACAACAACACATCTAATCAACATGGACACGTAAGAATTGACAGTGGTCACACATACAGTGAACACTAACAGCCTAAGTGGGACAATGTGGACATTTTTAGGTCTAATTGTTGGACTGAAAAAAACTCTCCTTTAGATTTAACCAACTGATGATTTGTCTCGTTTGAACACATCCTTCTACCAGATGATCAAAAACTCGATTGATTTCCTGGGAAACATTTCACAAGATGAAATTTCTTTTGATATGTTGCTTATCAGCCTCATCACTTTGGTAGCCATGTGTGGTGACTCACTTGTTCAGCAAACAGACCGGTCAGTTTCATCATACTTTGGCGTTTTGACACCAACTTGCTGGCTGCTGATAGGCTTGTCTTTGAGATGGTATTTCTTCCTCAAACTTACTAAGGCCATCTAAGCAGAGCGTATTTTTACCATTGCGAAAAGAGCCGCTCTACAAAGGTTAACAGAAATATTGAGAAATGATTTCCCTTATTCCCACTGTAGTCAGCTGCTGAAGCTGGAAAGTCTGTGTTTTTTCATTATTTTTTATTTTTTATTCCCTTTTTTATATCCAGTCAGAGCGAGTGTAGTAGTGAGGCTGATATCTTTATGGAGTTATGATATAATAACATAGCTCAGAGTTAAATCAAGTTAACTCACAAATTTAAGGTAAAAGCTGAGAGGATACGACAACAGGGATCCAAAACTGTGGTTCAAACAGCCAAAAGTCAAGAGAGGACGAATTTTCTGCTTATTTAAAGATTTGTGAAGTAAGTTTGGGGAGATCTGAGTCACAATAATATAAAGAAAACCTTGTATTCCAACAACTAATGCCAACAGTTTCTTTCCTTTTTCTTTTAATAAATAGCATGTCGTAATGTTACTGTTAGTTTTAGTAAATGAGATCATTGGTTGTCTGGAGTGAAGCTGAAGTTACATTCCTTTGTCATTGCAAAACTCAGAGCACACCATGAATCATGTTAGAAGCTGCAGACGTACCGTCATCCTGCAAACAGGGATCAAATCTGAAAATACGTTTATGGGTATATAGTAACACTTAGAAAAACAACGTTTGTCATGTTGTTTAAAAGACCACATGACTCTCTGACCCAGACTGATTCAAGACTGTCTACGCCTTTATATAATCACTTGATCATCAAGACGGGTTAAGTTCATCATCTCGACAATACGTCCCGACCACTTAACCACCACAGCTACGCTAAATAACACTTGATTTTTCCTAGTTACATCTCTGTCTCTGCTGCAATCACAGCTGCTCATTGACCAGCAGCCAGATGCTGATGCTCACAGGGCGAATACTTGGTGTCGTCTGAACAATGGCCCGCAGACAGAAAAGACTGCAGCCACAGCTGGGATCAGAGAGAAAGGGAAACTTCTGGAGGCTAACAGTAATGAATCACTAGAACTGAAACACTTGGCGCCAAAACGAAACAAGTGTTTTCTCAAAACATCCGATGCCCTGAAGGTAGAGTGTGGATTTATCGGAAATAGAGGAATTCTTTTAAAACGAAAATGAAGAAATAAATATCACAGAAGTTATGAGATTTACTCAACACTGAGAGAGAAGTAAAGTGAATAAATGTGGTCGAGAAAATGGGTCATACAAACTGTTTCCCTCAGCCATAGTGTTTAATTCTGGGTATTATTCTGAATGAAGTTTAAAGAATCCATAAAATCTAAAGCTGGACATATTCTCCCATCATACCTCACATGTAGAAGAACAGTCCTTGTTTTATAGTGAAATAAAAAGTTCAGTGTTAGGATCTCTCCATGTTAGTATCTCTGTGTGGGCAGAGCCCCCCCAGAGGTCCCATCCTAAAACCAGACCTGCAGCTTACTTTCACTGTCTTAGTGAGATAAATACAGTTTGAGGTTTTGGTTCACAGATGTAAAAGAAAAAAAAAAGTATCTCCATAAGTAACAGAACTACAGGACTATGGACTGACTTTAGCTGATGAATGTATAAATGCTTGGAAAAATAACATGAAACATTCAGAAGACAAGACCTGACAAGGACCTCACTATGTGTGGGAATGGGCTGTTCAGCCATACAGGTGCCTTTAAACGTCTGTATTGACTAATTGAAATGATACTGTAAAATAATTATTTTTTTACTCAAATCAAATAAATAAACAAAATATTGAAATTAATGAAAAACGTTGCACATTATTGCTGAATCTGTTCACCAAGACACAGGTGACGTGCTCTAAATGTCAAACGTTCAACTGTCACCTCAGACCAAACTTGGGTAGACTGCAGTGCCCCCTATAGTAAGTTTACAGTAAATTACCATTGTGTGAATGATCAGTTATCAGTGAACAAAATATGAAATGGAAAAGGAAAAGCAGAGCTGAATGTGTTTATTTAAGAAGGATAAATTTGAAATTACTGACCAAAAAGGCACACTCCTGTACAGATGAAGAATAAATGGTGGTTAAAGGTCAAACACAGTCAAAAACAGTTTCTATTTCAGTGTGATGGGCCTGTGTGGATTTATCATATTAGCCACATGTTCCTGAGGATATTTACTTTTTTTTCATTTTTGAAATCAAAACAAACAAAGAGACAAAGAAAAATCACCTCCAGGTGTAAAATCCTAATTCTAGACCAGATTGTTATTTTTTTATTGACACTGGTCGCTGGGCAGGTGCTCATGCTCTGGAATCCAGGGGGATCTGGCGAAACACTCGGCAGCCTTCCTGTCACACTCACAGATGAACATCTCACATTCATCATTGTTGGCTAAAAGAGAGGAATTATTAAGAGGTCAGCAAAAGTTTCTCAGAATTCAATGTAGTGATGTAGAAGATAGTGATGAGGGAAATGGAGAAAGACACCTTTTACTGAAGGTTTATGATAAATCAGAACATTTCTGCCCACTTACCTGTGCAGGTGACCTTCTTGTTTGCCTCGTCACAATCGTAGCCGTAAAACTCGGTGTAAGGGTTGTCCAGGATGGGAAAGCACTCAGAATGCTGCATGGCGTCACTGTAACACTTATCATGTACTTGACAGCACCTGAGGTAAAAAAGTCAGAGAAGGCAAGTTTGAAATGAACGTGTTTTTTCATAGACTCTCATTGCAGTAAGAGGCGGACAGATTGTATCATGACCTATCCAGATCATCCACAGGTGTGCCAGAGCCTCCTTTCCCACAGAAGCAGCCGTAGTCTGCATAGTCTAAAACGGGCCAGCTGTCAGGCATCACACACAGGATCATATTCCTGAACTGGTTGAGTGCCTTGTAGTCCAAGGACTGGGCTGAAATAGCACAAATGAACAATCAGAAATGAATTCATACTTAACTGGGAAAGGTGCCTGTATAAAAATACAGTGAATAAGACAGAAGCGCCATGCTGGTTAAGCTGTACTCACAGAGAGAGAGGCTTAAAGCCACAAGAAGGAGAACCTGGAGGGTTTTCATCTTTCGAGTAGAGTGGCAATCTGCAGAGTCGCACTCACTTGTACATCACGGGCTCTTTATATATCAGTTTTAGGACCTTGGCGCTTTTCTGTCAGCTGTTCATGCAAAAGAAGGTCACAGGACTCAGACTTAAAGATTACAGCGCAGACCTGCAAGTGCAAAAGCAGGTGAAAATTCCCACGCTTTGAGAACATCCGGGAACTCTGTGAACCCTGAGGCCTGTCGTAGTTTGATTTTCCAATCTGCAATCACTCTGATACGAATCCTAAGTAGGTCTACGATATTTATAGCAACTGAGACATCAGAGTCATCAAAATATTGTGTTCTGGATTTGGTGAGGCTGACATTTTTACTCTATTGGCTTGTGAAAAATCATCCCAGTTAGGATCTGACAACTGCTTCTCTGTTGTGCAGCAACTAAGAGGCAGTGAACAATAAAAGTGAAGTTTTCAATTGGGTGATTGGGAGGAAACAACTATCTGACACCCAGGTGAAAATACATGAAGAGGAGAACACACGTCAGTGAATAAGAAATTAAAGTTATATAATCGTAGATTTGGCCCTCCATAGGTAAAAACTTATCTGTGAGATATTGGGAACACAAGTCTGACACGTCTTTTCACTCATTTTACGGTAAATGAAGAGCTACAGCCTTATCAGTGGGAGTCATCCTGCGAGCCAGACAGCTCTTACATAAGTCTCTATTCACAGCCGAGTGTGACTCAAGGCCAGAGGAACAACTGTAAGAGTGCATAACAGAAATAACACCACACACATGTTCATTAACTTCTTCCTGAACTGATGCATTGTCAACTGATGGACTAACTTCAACAACAAAAAAACCTTTTATATAACCTGTGGGTCCTATATCACTTCTTACATACATAACACTGCAGTCAAAGTTCAGCCACTTCTAGATTGTACTGAAGTGACTGAACTTTGACTTGAGTTGCTCATGTCAGTGCTGTTTTTATCCTGAGCATTAAAGGAGTAGTTTGTGAAGAAATAAGGCTGCAGATCATGGGAAAAACCGTCCACAACAGCAGTCGATTAAAGGAAACACGACATTTAAACACAAGTTAATAGAAGAATTCATGCTTACGTTTGCATCTTATGTTGAAATAACACAAATTGAACACAGACAGTTTGTTCCTTTTTAAATTAGTCTTTAATACAAAGCTCACAAGCTTGTTCTCACAGTCAAAAAATAAATTAATGACACTAATTTATGCTTAATATCATTATTTTTGTATAAATACATCATGACAGTGATAGTTCTGACAAAACAGTACAGCAGAGTCTTTTATTGAGGAGATTGTCAGCTTCTACTGGCCTATAGCAGGATATACCTACGTGAAACACTGATATAAATAGATGCTACATGTCAAACATTGAACTTAAACCCAGTCAATCCTTCAGACTTTATGAAATGCATGCAGACCAAAACAATACTTCATCAGTTAGAAAATATCTACATCGTGTAATCATTTTCGTACCAGCTCTCTTAGAGCTAAGAGCTGTCTCTCAGACAAATACATTTGCTTTTTGTTTATTTGTTCCCGTCGTCTCCTTTTTTTTAATCCACCATGAATTCATCTTCTCCTAAATGAACCTCCTGATACACTGTAAAGACTTCAGTGTAGACTGACCATCTGTGTTTAAGTAGTGCAAAACTAAAGAAAAAACTCTTCTATCTTAGGCCAAGTTATTCTGGGAGGATTGTCATAAACTCAACTAAACCAAAAAACTGATGAGACACGTCAACCACAGTAGAAAAAAATATGTACACATCATTAAACACTTCACAGCTAACTGAAGATTTCTATTGTGCGCAGTGTGATTATAAATAAAACGTAAAATAACAAACAGTGATGACCTACTGCAGTGCATTTTTCCTTTCTTTGACCTTTAACATTCACATCTCGACTAGATCCTTCCTCTTCATCATGGCAAACTCATGATTTGAAGACGTTCAGTCGGGTTTGTAGAAGATTAGCTCTCCTCTTATACACAGAGTTATATCCTATCATTACTGCCTCTCTATGTGTGTTGTTCTACATGGCAATTAGTGAACAATTAAAGGCAGGATATACAGGATTGGGGTGACATTTATCATCCTAAACAGATATAAATAATGTAACTGGCTATACGCTAAATGTACAAGATATAATCTCAGAGCCTTTTAATAGCTTTAGATTAGATTTCTTAATAAGACTGCCAGTCCCCTTCAACTGGGGGAAAGAAAATAAGCGATCACACATTAACTTCCTGGACTACAGCTGATTAAGGTTAAAGTGGACCTCTGAGAGTAGACTGACCTGGATTCACCTGCTCTTTCCACAGGCGAGGCTCATATTTTGTACACTCAGTGTACAGTTCACAAACTCAGACAGGATTGAAAGTCAGTCTGTCCTCAGATCGGCTTGTAAAGTAAAGTGGTCACATATTTCTTCTTGTAACGATGCGTCGCACTGAGCACCATCACTCCATCCTGTGACAGAAAAGGTAATAAAAAGATACCTTCAAAAATCCACATTCCTTCACCATGGAAACATGCTTACAGTTCAGGTACAAGTGGGACACCAGCAACAATGGTATCAGCCAAACCATGTGCAGTAAACACAGTCAACCAGAGAGATTAGTAGGAGGGCCACCCACTAATCTCTACAATGTGCTCCAGCTCCAGTCACTAATCCCCAACAACAATGCAGCTCCATAATTCACCTCGTCTTATTCTCATGAAGAGACTTTTGGATTGGGGTGTAACAGCTGGAACAGAGTTTACTGTTGTCCAGAAATATGAATGACCATGACTAAAACTCACAAGTTACTGCTGTTATATTTAATAAGAGATTCACTTGTTTGTTATCGTCATATCAGAGCCACTCCCTCCTTTTCAGTTTTAATTTCATTTTTATTTAAAACCACTTAAGACTGGCTTTGAAATACACATCAGCGCTTAACATCAGATTTTCACTGTCAGGGTCTCTGGAACAAACTGCCTGTGGAGATCAATCTGGCAAGTTCCTTAAGTTTTAAAAAAGTGCTTTTACTTTTATATGACTTTTAACTAGCTTTTAACTTTTTATGAAGTCTTAACTTGTTTTATTTTGTTCAAACTTACTCTATTTTACTGTTATTATTATCATCATGATTATTTTTGACTTCATTAAGAAACCTTTTGACATGTTGGGGTTTCATCTTTCATTGAACTCTTAATCATTCCCATTGACGACTTCTTTGGAAGTTGCGTTGATGTGTGCTGTGTCTGTATGTTTCTTCCTCTATTTTTATTCTGTTTTTATGTTGTAAAGCTCTTTATAACTCTGTTTCAAAAGAGAAGATGAAGAAGGACTTCAGATTTTGGTGTCCATCTCTCCTTTGTGAAACATCTCAGAGGGGTATCAGGACAGAACAGGAAACGATGGGATCTACTCGACTGTTGGAGAAAAAAAAAAGCGTAGCCCTGAATCCCAGAGCAGAAAAAGGTTTACATTACAAAGCAACAGCAGGTACAACCTTTTTAGCGGGGATTAGCATTTTATTAAAAACATTTCATTTTCAAATTTGTACATTTTGGACAATGATTTCTGTTCTGGCTGTTTGTATCATCATATTTTAGTCTGGGAGCTCTGAAATCTTTCCTTTTGCATCTCAGTTTGAAGTATCCGTCAACTGTGATTGGCTGTCCCAAGGATCAGCATGTTGATTAATAAGAATACTAGACACATGTAACAGGATGTTATGACTCTCTGCGTTTTATATACAACATGTCATCAGCTGCTGGGGGTGTGGGAAAACTGTCTGAGGGGGCACTTGGGAAATGAGCAGCTTTGTTAGCATTTTTATTACTAACTGAGAACTTCTGCAGCTGCGAGCAAACTTTCGCATGACTAGCAGAACACATTGTTTCCGTTAAGTGCAAACACTTTCACTCCAAGTGTGTGTGTGCGTGAGTGTATGTGTGTGTTCATGCCTCAAGTGTGTGTGTGTGTGTGTGTGATGCAGTCAAGTGTGAACCCTTACCTTAATGGAAAGAGCATATAAGTGGTTAAGCATTACATGGTTGGGTTCAGGTAGTAACGCAGGATCACACTGTGCAGGAGGGAAAACAGAACATTTACTTTATTACAAAATCATGGTGTTGGTCTCATTGACTTCTTTTGTTTACATCTGATTTATCGTGAGAGGAGTTTATGTTTTAAATAAGAAGAAGAACTTAATTGATCCCCGAAGGGCAATTTAATAGGGTTTAAGGATTAACAGTTTAGGGATTGTGGTTTAAAAAAAGTAGATTATCATTATCATGGAATGGTACAAAATTGTGTAACATTTCTAATAACTAAAAAATATGAATTACTGAGTGATATTGAAATAAATAAATAGATGAATTAAAAAGCCAATTTGGAGCCACTTACAGAAATTCCAGTGTCTTTGTTGAGGATGACCTGTAGCAGGTGTGGTGGGAGTATTGGTGGAGACTTGAACTTCTCCTCTTGCTTGGGAACATAAGACTCCTGGTGATACGGCCCAGGAGGGGAGCTGGAGAGGTCTGATACAGGAGCAGAGGCAGAGCAAGGATAAAAAACATCTGACTTTGAGAGGAAAAAAAACATCATTATTCTTCATATTTCCAGGGACCTGTTCTAAAATCACACTTTCCCTGGTCCTCTTACCACCCCACGTACTCTTACATTAAAAGTCACATTCACCCATGTACACAGATGGAAGAGGCAGAGCTAAGAAGTGAAATATATATTTAAAACCATCTGATCGATTGTGGTCAACTATCAAATATGAAGGGACCAGAGTCACTGGGATGATATTACATTACACACCTGTGAGCAGACTAAAAAGCAGTTTTCAGCACTTACCTGACATGTCCGAACACTTCTGGGAGTCTACCATCAAAGCATCAAAAACCTCAAAGTCAGTTTTCTTCACCTGGATGATATTGTTCACTGTTCCCATCTGACTTGTTACAACTGGCTGTAATGAAACACGAAATAATCACATTAAAACCTAAAGCAACAGATTATAAACAGGCCAGATGTAATCTTACATGAGGAATACAACAGAAGCCCAGAACATGAAGAGTCCGACAAATTATAAATACATCATTGAGGGATCTCATTTCAGAGCTTGTTTGAAAAAAGGACAAACTGAAAAACTGCTAACCTCAGCAGGGTCATGGGTCCACTGGCCATCCACATAGAACTTGTACTGGTGCTCCCCTTCAGGTAGATCAACAATAGCGACAAAGGTGTTCTGACTTTAAAAATGAAAAGAGATGGTGTGAGATGGCACAGGACTTTACTTTGAGTCTTCAAAACCATCAGTTGTATGTTCCCACTCCTGCTAGTGCGCTGATCAAAAGACACGAAGAGATCAAACCTCTAGTAACTACCACTTTGATTCATAAAACAACAACCTGACAGTTAGTTATGAAACCGACTGATTCTTACAATCACAGTGAGGGGAAAATAGGTTCTGCAGCAAAGGGAGGAAAAATTATTTATTTGACTTTGTCTTGAACAAATATTCATAATGAACAATACTTTTGGCTGTGAAGAGAAAGCAGGATGAGATTTAGACATAAAATACATCTTAGACATGTAAAGGTCAGAGAGGTGTGAAGATATTAGAGGCGCCAGTGGAGCTCTGAGTGTTATTAACACAAAGAATAAATCAGAACATAATAAAACACAGAGTTTAGCACCCCTTACCTTCTTATCAGAGGAATCTTGTTCGCCCAGTTGTTGAAGGATCCAGAAAGGAAAACTTCTTTGCCGTCGCCAGTCCAGCGAAATACCGTAGGCCGGTCTAAAGTTGGTCCTTTGTCATCTGCTTCTAAGTCTTGCTGCCATGCGAGGAACTCTTCTTTTTCTAAGGGGGCCTGGAAAACCCAGAATTATTCCACCCTGTGTCTAAAGGCTGACAAATGACACCTTGATGGCAAAAACTAACACACACATTAGAGAGTTAAAAGCTTACTTTCATGTCTTCACTGTGAAAAATGTCTGCGTCCTCTGGGCTGTCCATTAGGATTTTTGGCCTCTCTCCCTCCTTATGTCCTCGGCTGTCCCTCCGCTGAGCCTTCTCCCCCTGGCCCATGGCTGCCCTCTCACTGCTTGTGTTCCCCATGGCTTTGTCTTCTTGTAGGCCGGTCGGAGGTCACTAAGAGTAAAGCAAACCAAAGAGCTTAGACAAGACTTCTCTACATCTCACACTGTCAGATAAGGTAATTCATCATCAATAGCTTCTACAGTCCATTAAAGGACCTCATCACTCAAATAAGAAGAAAGTCTGCGCACCAGAGGGACTAAAAACCCTGTCGACAATGATTAACAATGAATGTCTGAGAGGAGTAAGTTAACTCAGATGTTCAGGTAGCAAAGTACAGCTGCAGGGGCTCAGAACCATGTCGAAGGACTTGACGGGGAGTCATAGCAATCCTTGCTGTTAAGATAAGCACTTTGTGTTACATCCTTCGCATGAAAAGCACTTTATAAGTAAAGTTCGATTTGATTTCTACTCTGCAACATTCATAAAAATAATCATATTTTTAGTAAAACTTTTCCTACATGTGTAGATTACAGCTGCATGATATTACAAATATATAATGATAGATTTATTGGTCCCCGTGGGGAAATTTGTCTTCACCAACTGTACATTACATAAAAGGACAAAAATGCACATCACATATGACAGACCTTAAGGAACAGACAACTAATGACAAACACCCGGACAACAGCAATCGGCAACAAGCAGCAAGGAGGCAACAGGACAGATTATTCACCGGGGCCTACTATTCAGGGCATCTATAGCTGCAGGGACCAGGCTTTTCCTAAAGCGGGCCTTGTTAAACCTTAGGGTTCCATACCTGCGCCCTGAGGGTAGGAGGTTGAAGTATTTTTTGAGTGGGTGAGTGGTGTCTTGTGCTATGGAGTTTGCGTGTGATGGACCTGTTGTTCAGTTCTGTAAGGTTGGGTGTGGGTAGACCAATGAGTTTAGCTGCTGTGTTTGTGATGCGTGTGAGTTTGGCCCGGTTGGTGACAGAAAGCATAGTGAAGAAACGTGTGGAACAGTTCAGAAGGATGGGTTGGATAATACTTTGATATAGCAACAACAGGAGGTGTGGAGCAACATATAGTCCTTTGAGTTTGCGGATACACAGGTTATGGAAGTTAACTTGTACTGCCAACTGCATAAAGAAGACATAACTTAAATAAAAAAAAATTAAAAAAAAGTAGAAGCACATGAAAGGTGTGTAAAGTCTGAGCTCATACAGAGTCGTGTTGTTAAATTAAACTGAATTACCAGAAGCTAAAGGAAGAAATCTGCACCTAGATTTGACTAAGATCTGAAAACAGTTGATATGGAGCCTCTGTGACCCTGTTTTAGCTCACAGATGTGTAATGTTTTTACCTTCAGTGACCCCTAACACAGCTAATGCTACCTTAGCGCGGTTTAAACCCTGAGGTTCACAATGATAAGCATTATTGTTAAAAGTCACTGGGTTATACAGTATCGGAATAAACTTATCGGACGGTAGTAAGCTTGTTTAGTTTTCACCTGGAATCCGCTGTAGGTGATAATAACAAGAGTTAGCCGGAGCTAACGCTGGTTATCAGTTAGCATCACCGTGTCATGGAGCTGCTTGGATGTCCCGTTGGCCAAACGACACCGATAACCAAAGCGACTAAGTTTAGATAATAAAGAGCTGAGTGTGATCAGCCGTCTGTAACATTCTTCATTTTTACCTGAGAGGGGTTTATTGTAGAAGCTGCTCCTGATGGTTCATGAGTCCCTTTGATTCAGCGCCGGAAACACAACATTTCGTCACGCAAACAGACGCGCCCCCTCACATGCGCATGCGCAGTAGATGAGTATGCACTTCGGGAGACGTGAAAAAAGCCCGGAGTGAGAGTTTTTATTTTTATTTTTAGGGGTTAAGGGTAAAGAGTGTTTGGAGATAATATACAAGTACAATAATATAATGGAATACAAAGTCCGTTATACCAAATTCATTGTTTAATTGACAAGTTTCAGGGCAAAAGAAGACAACAAGAAAAACAAGTCTCTTGGTCAAAAGGGCCTCTTGAACAGCACTGGTCATTGACTGCATTCATTAACTTTACTTTAACATGCTGACAGCGTGTGTGTGTGTGTAAATTTACAAGGAAGTTAAAACAGAAACTCAGTTAATTTATAGCCCCAGCCTTGGATTGACATTCCATTTCACTTGGCAACGAGGAATACTCTTTTTCTTATTGGTTGATAGGTTGCCAATTTAAGCAGAGCACTTTGCCATTGCGTCATCCATTCATACATTTACTTATCTCCTTTCTATGTGTTATGTGCTGCGAGTTTTATCACTTCTCAGCGTGAGAAATGTCATGTGTGAGCGTGTGAAGTCCACGTGTTCGGGGGTGTAGTGTCAGGCGCTCACCGCCAGGTGGTAGCGTGACACAAATACAGTTATAGATCTAGCCTATAGTATAAAAAGCAGTTCAGTGGATTATGATCTGACAAACGTTTATATATGCTACTGACAGTTTTAGACAGGAAACTGATGATCTTAGAGGTTTTCTAATTTCTAATCATAGAAAGAGCCAGCTTAGGCCAACATGCTTTTTTCTCAATGTCAAGTTAAGTTCTGGTTTTAGTATGGGTACCGGACACCAATTACTATGGTCTTGTTTGCCTTTGTCTTTCATATAAGGGCATCAATATGAGTCTGAACCTACGTCATTAACATCCAAAAACTCCTCACAGGAGCTTTACATAAATTAAAACAACAGCAGCACAGAGAAGCAACATGTGAATGTTCTACACTTGTTTGTTATGGGCTCAAAAAGGTAATGATAAAAGATGTTTGCCTATTGATTTAAAAGCATTTTGAGTGGCCACAGGATTTTGAGAAAATCTAACATAAACACAGTCTATTATTAGCATTTTGGCCATGCCACCCGTACAACTCTCCTGGACAAGCCCCTGACTGGTAGGTAATGACAAAGTGTCCTATCGTTGAAGTCTGTTGTTGTTCAAGTTATGGTTTGTAATCAGGAAACTGATAGAAAATTAAACAGAACACACCCTTAGCCTACATATACATCTAAACTGCAGTTCAGAATGTATTCAAGTGGAGCTGTAAGTTTCTTTCAAATTACCTTCAAGGTCATACTTTGTTTACGAAACCCATAGCAGTGTCTCAATTATCATCCTGAATGGAGGTGAAATGATGCAGCAAATCACTAATCATTATAATCTGCAGCTCAATATGACCAGAGGACAGTATCAGACCTCATACAGCTTCTGTGGTCAATGCTGCTGCTGTGCCAGTGCTTCTGTCAATAATGACTTGATGTTTTAGGGGGAAAAAAAAAACAGCCTGTAATAGTAAAATCAGTTTCAATATTTAAGCATGGCACAAAACCAAGATGGCTGACATCGGGCCATCGTGCCTAGTATCAGCCATCTGAAAAAGACGTAACAAAATTGGACATCATCTATGTATGCCATTGGTTTCACCTGTAATGGACTTATTTGAAAAATGATCTTATTTCAATGTTTATATTTTTTTACATTTTGAAGTTCTTATTCAAACAAACAAGCCCTTTGGCATAAAAGCTGTTTTTTTGTTTTCTATTTTGGAGTTATCAGCATTGCCAACCTTAGCTGATGATAACACAACAGGGGCCACCTTTCTTTCCAGAGTCTTTAGTTCTTTCACCTTGAGAGATGCAGTTCAACGCCGTGTGACAGCAGGCAGTTTTCTGTTAGCAGAGTCATGTTGAGCTGCAACAAATGCTGAAGAGTTTCAATTCATCTTTGTTTTGTCCCCTTGCAACCATTCCCTAACTACACCAATTATTCCAACTCAAACATGCACGTGGATTTAGAAGAGCTAATGATGCTCACCCCCCCAAACAGCACTCAACGCCCTCAAGTCACAGGGGGCAGCGCATGTTGGAGGCTTTGGAACATAACGAGGAGCCACATTAAATAGCGTCCAGCAGAGATGTGCGAAATGGAGGATGGTTAGATTTTACTGGACCATCTAAAAGCAGAAGGATCTTCATTTAATAGGCCTGCATTAGCTAGAATGTTACAGCAGACACAGCCTCAGATTATAAGCATGGTCACTGTTGAGTGAAGTACACAGATTTTGGTGCAAACAGCATGTGCAGTTACAGTGTTTTTTTGTCAGCTTACATCACTGGTGTCTCCTTGGCTTCATGTATGGGTGAAAACATGAGTATTACTGTGCAGCGTAACAAGTCAGAGAAAAACCACTTCTGAGTAAGACAACTTTATTTGATTAATTCAGGTTTTAAAATCCAAATGCCTGAGCATGTGAGAACACTGTCCTGGAACCAGACAGCTGTAATTGGCTCACGTCAGCTTAGCAGGCCTGGCGGGTGGAGGCAGGATGTGATGTTTTTGCCTGCACATGTGGGTGGATTTAAAAATGACTTGGAGATATGGAGTCGTATGGTATGGCAGGTTAGTTCTGATGTATTAAAAACTGTCTGGTGTTGTTCGAGGAAGGACTGAGGTGGGGGTGGATAATTGCAGATAATGGTTCTTGACTTTGGAGACTGTTTTTCATCCACTTGGCTGCTTTCTTTATTCCTATCTCATTGCTCTCTATGCCCTCAAATCAAACTTTTAATTAATTTTAGGAGACTTTCTGCCTTATAGACTTGAACTGAAGTTTAAAGCCAAAACACATCCCTCAATGTGTCATTTGAAATCCTGTCTGCTAGCAGACCCCATGATAAACTGCGTAATGTGACTGATGTGCCGACATGGAATGATGGCTTCTCCCTGGCATCCTTCCTCTGGAGCAGTGATCACTCTGCCTCTGCTGTTTACCAGTTCTTGCCCCTGCTGCGTGAAGCCATCACAGTCACTGCATCACACCTCATCCAGCAGCTGGCCTTGATACACTCTCTGTAGGACAAGCCAGATAACCTTTATATCGAGCTCTCTGGGATTACACATGGAGGACGATGACTCACACTCACACTTGTTGCCCTGGCACTCGAACAGGCTCACATCTGCGCAGGTTATACACTCACCTGAGATCATGCACCTGTTTCTTGTGTCTGTGTTTTATTACAGCACTAAAATTTTAATGTAATATTCAATGTAGACTTCAAAGATACATTTGGTGTTATTTTGTTTATTGAATTTCTACTATTGCAGTTCACACTGTAATGGAGGATTAGGACCACATTAATCAAGATTATATGCATGAAATAACAGAGTTATGATTGTGGAGTGCATCATCAGAGCTTTTAGTCATCAGATGCCACCGTCGCTAACAGCAGGATGTTTTAATGGCTGATGGCTAGATATTGTCATGATATGTTCTGTATATTTAGTTTCCTCCTGGTTTTATTTGAGTGCATTTTGTTTATTTTTTTCGAGTGTTTCTGTTCCCTATTGTTCCTGTTACCCTGTAGTCCAGTCTTGTGAGTTTTCAGTTTGTGTTTGACCTTGTTTCCCTCCTGGTAGTCTGGTTTAGCTTCCCTAGTTTTTCCTCCTCCGTTAATCACCCATGACTTTCACCTGTTGCTTGTTTCCCTGTGTGTATATAGTCCCTGGCTGTGTCCAAAATAAATTACTCAATCCCTAACCTCCATATGGGATTTCACGATATAGTTGACTATGTAGTGAACTCAATCACCGGAGGTTTCGGACACTACATGGCATGACGGGATGTACACCACCGATGAGTGACCATCGGATGGTCACTACATTTTGCAATGCTTTATGGGAAATTTTGAGTCACCTATATAGGGCACTGGAATTGATTACTGAGGTTTCGGACACCCTCAAAATGGCGCTAACCCCCATATAGTCGCCTTTATAGGGGTTAGGGATCCATTTCGGACACAGCCCATGTGTGTGTGCATGTCAGCCTGTTCCCCGTGATCTTTTATCTGTGAATCCTTCGTCTCCTGGTGTCCCCCCCCCCAAGTTGTTCTTCCTTGAGCTGCGTCACCCCACTGCAGTCCGTAATGGACTAGCCTGAGGTCTTACTACAAACAAGCGGCTGCCGGAAGAGAGTAGGTGAGTTGTGTTTGGTCTCGTCTCCTTGCTTAAAAAAATTAGGCAAATGTAAAAGATGTTTGGTGTCTAGTACTATGGCTAGGACCCTATATGTACTGTTGATGAAGTTAGGTGCTGTTCTGAGCATTATTTGTGGCTATGGAGTGGCGTTTTGGTTGAGGTGTGCGCACGGAGGTGTCGACCGCTGTGTATTGCTATCTGCGGTCATTTCTAAAGTTGGTATAACTAGAGAAGCAAGCAGTCAGCAACATTCATCTCTGGAGGGGGTGTACTAATACTAATCTGCATGTCAACTGTAAAGTCAATTTCACTCTTTTTTTATTTTAACACAATTCAAAGATTCCTGCTAACTCATTCATTACCCAAAGAAATGAACACAAAGAGAGAATTAACTGTGTCAAAGGAACAAAAACAGATTATCACAGAGTCTACTGTTTTTATACTTACACAGATAGTCGGAGTCTGTGATCAAACTCTGCTGTTTTCAGCCTTTTTCATCCTTTTGTTTCAGTCCTGTGGAGTGAGTCAGGCTTTTGTTGGGAGACATGAGGTCTTAATCATTCGCTGATTGTCTCAGAGGACACGAAGGCTGCATCACAGGGCTTAAAACTATCTCTCCCATCAGCACAGTAATTTGTGGGGCTACTTGGGTGGGACGTCTTTGGACTAATTCAGAGCTTTAAGTTTCACATTTGACTCGGAAATTAAAGTAGCAATTAGCCGGGTCAAGAACACCATCATTGAATCTGTTATGAAACAATTACATAACATCCTCATCAAAACCGCTTCGCTCCCACACACACTCCCTCATTCTTCTATCCTTTTATCTCTGTTTCCTGTTTAGTCTCTGCGAGTCTTTATCTTTCCGCAGCATGACTCGGTCCCTCCCATTCTTACTGTTTGACCTTCAGTTAAACATTCAGGGAGATGCTGCTCCTGCTGCTCCTGCTGCTCCTGCTGCTGCTGGACTCCTGGATCTATTTCAGGTTTTACCAACAAATAATAAAACACGCAGACCTCAGGGCACTGCAGGCTGTCTGACTACCACAGATATGTTTTCCTCCTGAATTTGGACAGATTTTATTTTTTTCATACAGCACAGTTTCTGTCTGACCTGAAAAACCCTTTAGTTTGAGGGTGACCTTCAGTGTTAGACGGTTGAAATTCAGGGTTCTGCCTGTAGGATAAATGTGAGCTTTGGCAGACCTTCAGTTCCAGTCTGTTTCTACATCTGCTTCTTTTGACTCCTCTGACATCCAGCATTTCTCAGATCCTATTAGTACTTTGGAAATGTTCCTTTGTGATTCCGGATCTTTAAAAGGATGAGGTAAAAGTACTCTGATGCACCAGCCACTATGAATAGAGAGCAGTAGGAAGGCAAATCCAATCTGGTGCCGCTGTTTGGCATGTGTAATTGACTGTGCATTATTCTCCTTAGAGTTAAAGTTCCTTGGCTTTTCACGTTTCCCAATCGTCCATGGTACTTGGACAGTCTTGCCAGGTACAGTCTGTAAAAATTGGAGGATCCTGCAACATCTTGCAGTCAGGTAACAGACTGAAAAACTCCTTTTCTCTCCCTCTGGACCAACTTTAATTATTCCAATCCCCAGAAAGAAGCAAATTAGAGGTCGGTTTGTTTATGGTGGGAAAACCAAGGGACAGGAAAACAACAGAAAAAAAAACAGTTGCTTGGAGAGAATTTTACAAAATTGGATATACTAGAATAAATACAACTTAACAGGATCTTAAGCCATGTTTTTTCTCTGGCCTTTATTCCTGTTATTTGTGCCCATGTAAAAACAGCTATTGAACAGTGTTATTTAAAGATGGTGAATTAAGAGGAAAATGTTCATAGTCCCAAACGCCATCAGGACCTGCAGAGTTTCATGCAGCTCTGCTCGACATGCTTTGGCTCAGCAGCAGTGGAGGTATTTGGTTTAATGTGGGTGATAGCAGCTTATCCACATTTACTTATTTCAGTAAATGTTAGATGTGGGCAGCTAAAGAAAGCTCTTTTTAAGACAGCTGAAGAGTTAACTGGTATTTGGGACACAGCTAAAACTGTGAAAGAAACAGATCTTTACTTTTAAAAGATGGATTATGTTGATACTAAAATCAATTGATTCATTTAAAAAACAATAATCATTTAAAATGGTTATTCTTCCTTTAAAGTGCAGTGTGTAAAACTGGGAATATTTAGCATTATCCAGTGGCCTAACCTTGAAAGAAACACCCCCTTGCTCACCCCTTTCATTAATATCAATGGAGAGATAGTTGCCTCTTAAAAAAGTCTGAACAGAAACATGTTTTCCATTTCCACTGGTTGCTGGTTTAACATCTTATATGGAGCCTGATGCTGAGACGAGCGAGTGTAACTTAATGCTTACCCTCAAAGTCTGTGAGTAATGAGGCATTTTCAGTGCACGTCTTTATTCCTCCATCTTATTGGCTGTAAAATGAGAGCACACAATTTCATGAGGGCTGTAAACATCATGTCCCAGGAACAAAAATGAGCAGACTCACCAGCTGGTGAACCTCTGATAGGACAATAAGGAGTGTTATAAGGTTACTTTGACTTCTGCTATAAGAGCTGTGATCAGAGTCGGATGAATAAAGAGGTAAATGTTGTCCTGAGAGAATTAAGACTCAAGAAGTGTTAAGTCTTAATAAACCACCCGAACCTGGTCAAACTTGAACCAGCTTGTTTTTTGCCATGAAGGGTTTGGACTGAGGACCCGGCACACTGAGCCCTATTCTTTAATTCCTCTCATCTCTGTAAGATCCTGAATTCATGTCTATGTTTCAAACCACAGATCTTTAAGGATGTCCTTAAGCTCCTTTGTTTCAAAGGTTGGATTGTTGCTGCAGACAGTCAGCTGCTCTTGACTTACCTGACTCCAGCTGCAACAACTATTATTATAACCCTCACCATTATTATTCTCACTGTTATTACGCTAACAGTCATTTAAGAACAGCTCGACTCCAGGAATAATCTGAATAATATCATTCCTACCCCTATTATCACTTCTTCTTCTTCTTATTATTATTATTATTGTTATCATTGTGCATATGTGCTTGCTAAGTCAAACAAGGCTTGCGAGCACGGCATGCACATATTGTTATCGTCTGGGCAGGCTCAGTGACGGTCCCAAAATGCAGAGCAACACACCCCCTGCGAGGACCACTTGGTCTTGATTGACAGCTGTCTTCCAGACACCACAACACAGAGACAGCCGCATCGCTTTGAGTTTCAAGTCAGATTCATGAAAAAGGCCCTAAATCATCAACGCTTTGACAAATCAGCACCTCGTGACCCCACTCTGAAGACATGTCCCACTCTGCAGCCATCTTGGATGACCCCACTATCCCCAAACAGGAAGTAGCCCTTAACGCATTAATGCCCTCATGTATCTCCGCTGAAAACATGGCCTAAATGTGAGTAAATCAGCGGCAAGCAGCAGCGAATCGGCACGCAGGCAGGCACATTTTCTAATTTTCTAGTTATTATCATTATTATTATTATTGCTACAGTATGACTTTACCTGCCAAACTGCCATAAATATGAAGATGATCCGACTATCTTTAAGATGGAGTTCCATTAATTAATATTGTCACTGTAGGAGCTCTTGTTGTTGTTGATTCTTCTCTCTTTCTCTTTGCATCTTTCGAAGCCTCACATGGTCACAGTGGTTGACTGTCTAATGCAAATCTGGTTCTGCTCAAGGTTTCTGCCTGTTAAATAGTTTCCTCTTGCTGTTGTCACTCGCTGAATGCTGAAAAGTGCTCTGCTTGTGGTGTTTATAAAAAGGCTGTCAGAATATAAACGTGGGAAAAGACTGAACCTTGGTACAGTTCAGTACGGAGTAGATCTGTTAACATGTGTTCGACTTTATATGTTAAGATGTGTTGCGATTATTTAAAATCTATACTTCCACTCTGTTGTTGTCGTACCGACCATCTCATACATGTTCATTATTTCTGATTTATTGGTTTGACTTTCTCTTTATGTCTTGGTAAAATAAGAAATGACACACAACCAGGATTCTCTCGAAGACGAGTTAATGCCATGCATTTATTTCAGAACCCTGACATATCTGTCAGACCATCACCAATCATGTCATAAACATACTTGATTCACAATCTGGCAGAACTTTCACTACATAGCATCAACACTACATGAAGTTCTACTTGTTACAGTATGTTTCCGGTGAGTCTATGAGCAGTGTCATGTGCATTTCAGTTGCTGTATAAACTGTAACATTGTAGGATCCCCACCACATCTCAGCGCATTTAAGAACAAACGTTTGCACCACATCTTCCATCGTTTCTCATTTTCTGGTTGCAGTGATTGTGTCACACGGTCGTCCACCCTTAGCTCATTCCCTCAGTGCAAATAATGACACCAGAACAAGAGGGCAGATGCTTCCACCTTGTCAATTTGCAGCTCTGTGCACAACAGGGACAAAATGTACTATATGGCAGTATATACACAGTAATTAATGGGTTAGCTTTCATTAACATTCACTTCACATCCTTTTTTCACAGTTAGTACTTCAGAGGAACAGATTTTTGAATGAGAATGGGAACACAGAGGATATATCAGAGGATACAAGAATAAATACAGCTTTTTAATGCATAATAATAATTTATTCGGCAATGAACAGCAGCTCTCACATAATATAATGTATGCGGATAGCTTTCATTCCTGATGGTATATGTTCTGATAATGGCAGCGGCAGGGTTCATCCCACGTCAAAATCCACTTGCTTAACAGTACAAATAATGAGCTTGCATGAACCCTTGTGTAGTGTCAGTATCAATTCTGATGGCAGAAAACACAACCTCGTAACAGTAGCAGGTAACTATTATTAAAACATGATGACACCCATAGGAATGTATACTTGTAAGAGTAACAGCCTGTCGCGCTAATACACCAACATGGAGAAGTATGTTTTAAGCTGCAGGGCCGTAGAGTGCAGGACGTGTTGTTTAGTGTGGAGTGTGAGAATCTTAACAGCCTGTCAGATTGTGTGCATGGTTTTTTTTTAACTCACAACTTTCAGATCTGACTGACTATCCATGAGTAGGTGGTTGTCTTCCCGGTCCCCGTCTCTTACGTGTTTGATGGAAGCCATCAGATTTTTGGAGTTTGGTCCTGTGACAGCTGCTGTCACTTGCGTTGTGTAAGTCAGTCAGCATGTGTGTGTTGTCAGTGCGGTGGGTTAAAGGTAACGCAGAGGAGGAGAGATTCTGTTGATGGCTTGATCTGCTGTCTCTCGGTGCTTCGTCAGGCTCGCTCGGTCGCCGTCCCTATGTCATTGTGTAACCACGTCTATCTTCCTCCACTCATCTGTAAACTACAGCGTACACACTCCTCCCTCTCTCTCCTTCTCTCTGCTTGGTGCAGTGGAGGATCCTGGACTATAGAGGCAGACGGACGTGCATGGCAGAACTATTGGGCCGCGCAGCCAAAATGTAAATGGCACTCTCCCTTAAAAAGTCTGCCCAGGTCACTGGCCTGTTGGATAAAGAGACATTATTATTTATCAAAGACACAGTTGTGTGAATCAAGAAAACAGCAGTGAAAGGGTTGGAAACGAAGAACATGGTTGGGTAATAACCTCTGAAACACTCATCGATGAATACATGCATTTCTAATTTAAATATCCGAGGCTGTTGCCCCTGTAGACAAAACCTGATCTGTGCCAATATTCTGAAAGAGTGAAATAGGAAGCTGCATTAGTCATTTTAAAGTCAAGTGTGCATACAAATTTTTCATTAAAGCCTGAAAAAAGTCCTTATATGATTGAATTAATTCCACATTTCCCTGCTGGATTGTCAGATAGTGGAACCTTTGCAAATGGAAGCAAAGATCTGTGAGCCATTTATTGAAGATTTACAGCTTTGCAGGGGTGAACAGTTTATTCACAATGGTATCAACGTTGAAAAACTGCTGAAAGGAAGACATACCCATCCCAGACTTTGGTCCTTTTTTTATTTCTGATAGTTAAGAAGTTACAGAATAACACATTTGATTTAAAGACCACAGAAAAACTGATTTAAATTGACTCAAAGTGTCAGTCAATGCTGGTATCAAACCTTCACTCTTTAGCTTAAACACTTTAGTAGTGATATGGATTTGCTGTAACTTAACTATTGCTAACTGAATCCTAGCTACAAGATTAATGTCCACTTCTCACAGTTTGCTAAATTGTTGTTTTCATTGCTTAAGCTTTTTGTTTAACTAATCACTACAACAAAGGGGACTGTGAGGGACCTAATATTATTCTGCCTTTATCAGAGTAACTGCTTGATTCACCACAGCCTTCACAAACACTTCTCAAATGACTCTTATTAATGATCTCTGCTCAAAAGATAAGGAATTTCACCTCTGAAGGAGTTTCAGGGTCTGTAGTGAGTGGATTTATTATCCATAGACTGCATAAGACATGGACAGAGTCCCTGTCGACGTCACCCTTTGGTTCCTGAAATGGAGTTCTGAAGTTCTCTGATGGCTCCTAATGCTGACTCAACCTTACTGTCTGATGACCCAGCGAGAGGTGAAGAGGGTGGAGCTGAGGTGGGCCTTTAGTCTCCTTTCTACAGCAACAGTGCGCCCTCTTGTAAATTAAGTCAGGAGTGACCTTTATTACGTAAAACTTATACCCATAATATCTTCAAAAGTAATGAGTTATAGTGTGTGAATGGAGAACTGGCCCATTCACACCTCGACCTCTTTTGCACTAGGTTGTAAAAATGTTCAACTTTGCTGTAAAGAGGTTTTTCAGAAGTGGATATGTGTGTGTGCAGGAAATGCATTTTGAGCACTTCCACACTATCTTTGTTTCTCAAGACTGGAGGTTTCTGCTCCATATTTCCCCACACAGAATGTTTTACTTCAGCACACAATCACAGTAATTACATGGTACAGTTGCTTGGTAATATCATCACAGTGAGTTTCTGGCTTCTGTTTGCTTTAATTTGCCTTATCCTCCTTAAAAATGCTTCGTGAAAATTGTTTGTCAGGCCTCTTTCAAAGCATGTTAGTGCTAATTAGCATTCAACTTAATAAGACTCTCTTGTGTAGTTCTCTGTAATTGTGGATCCCTGTGGATCGCAGGCTGAAGTACTGGTGCATTAGCTTCAATTATTGCAAGATCTTGTAATGGGGCATGAAGGAAAGTCTCAGAAGTAATGATATGCCAAAGAGGATTTGTCTCCATTATCAGGCAGGACTTAGAAAGTGAGTTCCAGGTCATTTGCAGGGGCAGTGCTTCACTTTTATAGGAGGTGATGTTTCACTCAAAATGTATCCCATTCTTGCTGCTTATGAAATATTCACTGCTTTGACCAGTGAGGACCTTCAGTGCAGTCATAAGAGCTGTATCCAGAGAAACAAGTATATGTCTTATTTAAACAGGGTGAACCAGGTTATGCAAACTTTAAAGGGATATTCCGGCGCAAAAGTAAGTTAGGGTCAAACACACCATAACACCGAGTTAGACACCCCCTCGAGAGATGACAACAGTCTATGTCTCCACGCGCAAACCTCAACCAAAACGCCACTCTATAGCCACAAATAATGCTCAGAACAGCACCTAACTTCATCAACAGGACATATAGGGTCACAGACATAGTACTAGACACCAAACATCTTTTTAACTTTGACTCATTTCTTTAGCAAAGAGATCAGACACAACTTACCCACTCGCTTCCATCAGCAGCTTGTTTGTGGGGGGAGCCCTGACGAGTCGATCACCAAGTGCAGTGGAGTTTCGCAGCTCAAGGAAGATCATTTATGATTATGACTTCATGCTGTACTCAGTGATCGACTTGAAAGGACTCCCCCACAAACAAACGGCTGCTTGAGGAGAGTGGGTGAGTTGTGTTTAGTCTCTTTGCTAAAGAAATCAGGCAAAGCTAAAAAGATGTTTGATGGCTGTGACCCTATATGTCCTGTTGATGAAGTTAGATGCTGTTCTGAGCATTATTTGTGACTATAGAGTGTTTTTTTGGTCGAGGTTTGCGTGTGGAGACATAGACTGCTGTGTATTGCTATTGTGCGGTCATTGCTGGAGTTGTTATAACTAGAGAAGCAAGAGAAGCAACATTCATCTCTCGAGGGGGTTTCTAATTTGGTACAACAGCGTGTTTGACCATAACTTAAATTTAGGCCAGAATATCCCTTTAACGAACAAGAGAAACTGTGGGTTGACAAAGACTACCAGAGGTAAAAGCCGATCTGAAGAATTTCCAGCAATTTCCATTAGAGCAAGGTTGATTTATAGTAAGGCGCTGTTCAATAATTACGTCCCCTACCTTAGATGAACTCAAGGAAAATATGAGAGGACAAACCTGTTGTCATCAGTCTTGCTCCTTTCACTGCCAGAGCTGGCTGGACTGCTCTCACATATGGGGCCAACATGACTTATACTGAGGCAAAGATTAGAGAGAAAGCAACAAATCAAACAAATGAGTTACATATTCAGCTCTTTAAACACTCAGTTATGGACATGACATTCATGAATAAGATAAAAACAATCAGACTTTTTCATCCTTAAAAGGTTTTGCCGGTTTCTTGGTAACTCTTCTGTTTGTTTGTGATTTTTAATTAATGTGTGATTTTAATGCAAGCGTTTTGAGAGTTCAATGGTTCAAAGCACAAGTTTAAAACATAGCTATTTACTAAAGTATACTTCTCCCATTTACAGACAGTTTATATTGACCTTTATAACCTGCTCTTTTTTCATTCCTACAGACCACTGTAATCTTTCTAAACTGACGACTGCCAACTGTGATTAACCCAAACATCTCTGCATCATCTTTCAAAGTCGCTTTAATCACATCAAATCTCCCACCGCCTCAGCAGGAACGCTGACAGCAGATGAGAGCAAAACCCCTAATGAGTGACCTGATTTGAACCTACCGACTGATGCCTCATTTAAAGCCTCATTTCACTCTCACTTCAGGGGTCAGAAATGCCGATAATCCAGTGATCAAACACAGGAGAGTTTTTCCAATTCATTTAATATTTGCTTTTGCGTGAGCTTGAGTAGCCCTGCATTTTAGTCCTATGTGTGAACCTGATATTCACAGTGCACTCTCACAACCTGCTGCTCTACAGCATCCTCTTAAAGTGATAACTGAGGCTTTTCAAGAGGAGCTCCCCTTAAGAGAACAAAAGGATTTCTATGATCCTTACAGTAAGAGGCCAGCCAGACTCCTATTCATAACTCAAAAACGCAAGACCCGATCCGATGAAAGGCTCAGGTACTGCGCATCTAGGCTGAGTCAAGGTCGCATGCGTCTTTCATTCCTGCATGAATCTAAAGCAGCGCTGCAGTTTGAGGTCAAGAGGGCTCTATCTTTTTCAGAGCGAGCGCTATATAATGAAATCTAAATGAAGGGGTTGTCTGAGAACACTTGATGATTGCAGCATGCTGGAGGAGGTCGAAGGGAGGGGGTACAGACAAGCCATGCAGTGCTGAGTCACACTCACCCACAATACATAGGAGAGCAGAGTCCCATGAGTCTGCAGGGTTTCCATGTGTTTAATAGGTGAGAGGAATAATAAGGTACGGCAGATGAGATTTCCCAGCAGAGGAAGTTATGAGCAGTGATGATTGTATACATGCATACATACACCAACAGTAAACACACAGTTGTAAGGACGGGGATTATTGACTTTTTTCAGTGTTTATACCATGACCAAGTCTCCTAATGATCCATGTTCTTATTGAATCCACTTTCAAGTCTTTTATTTTATTTAAGGGAAAACTAAGAGGACAGGTGTCTGTAACAGAACTGGTTTTAATTTTACTTATTAATAAGTCACGTATTTCTGCTGTGACAGGAACCTCATCAGTGTAGCGTGACTGGAAACAGAAGAGCAAAGACTTTTTATCAACATTACCGTCATTTTAGTGACTCAACCTTGGATGGATCATAATGTAACCTTACGCCACTTCATTGAACTAATTTACTCGTTTTCAACCAGCTAATTTCAACTTTGGCTTTAGCTGACAGATTTTAACTTATGGGGCTTTCTGCTTTGGTTGCGGTTACCATGGCTGCAGCAGCAAACACAGTCAGCTGAGTTTTTCAGTCTCAGACAGTTGAAATGACACAGGTAATGCGATTTTGGCAAAAAAAACTGAGAACACTGTATGTAGTAAAAAACAATCCGAGTGGCACTTTAACACCTTTGTGCTGGTGAGTCAATATAATTCTTATACTTAATTAGACAGTTAACGTTTGTGCTCCACTCATTTGATTTGAATGATGTGACTGGACTTGAGATGTTGCGTTTTCTCCACGAGACTCAATAGCAGAATCGATAATCTTATATGTTATTGATTTTCCGGTTTTGAAAAATCTTGGTCCAGGTTTCGATCCCCATCCTTACATAAGTGTGGTGCAAAGACCATTTAATCCGGTGTCCCATTTTATGCAGGACATTCACTCAGAATTGATTTTTTTGTTGCATGAGAGGATGTGAACACTCTTTCAACCAGTGACGCACAAACACTATCACACAAATACACAGTGAGTGCAAACAAGTGTAACCTCATCAGAGTCAATCTGAGCTTATTCTCTCTTCATTATCACACTGATGAGGTCTGTCTGGGAAAAACTGGGAAAAAAAACAACCCTTTTAATCCAATTCATTGTGTGTTGTTGAAGAAAAATTTTAAACAACAGCTGTTAGATGTCGTTCAGGGCAATAATCACCTGAGAAAACAGCTTTCTGATGGTTATTATGTTTGGACTTTACATCAGATATTATTTTATCAAAGAGGAGTTGATTCAACTTTGTGGTCCTTTTATGGCTGCACCTTGTGGTGAGTTTCACAGGATTGCATTATGGAGTCTCTCCTTTGATCAAGTATCAACAAAAGGCTCTACAAAGGTAGTAGCTACTTGTTGCAGAGCTGTTGTGTGAGATTGTCTTGTGCTGTGCATACGTTGAATTTATTGTGCCTAAACCCTGTAGCAATTTTGGGTTTTGCATAGTGATTGATTAAAAAACACAAACAGCTCTGTACAAAGTCTGCCTGAGGAGCCAAAAAAATGAAAAAAGCAAGTTTCAAGCAAAAGCGTCCAGCTCCATCAATGCTGTGCACGTTATTTAAATGTATCTAAGGAAAGTACAGATTAAAATTGTTCATCATCAGGCCTGTTTGCAAAACTTAAATCTGTTTTTCCTTGATGTCACTATTTATTGCATCTGCAAAGGTCAATGTGGCGACCAAAACAGTGTTCATATTGACCTTTGTCAAAAGCAGACAAATAACTGTCTCCAGTCTTGCCACAATGCACAAAAGCCACTCATGCATTTTTAATGTCATTATAAACAAACATGTCCTCATGTGTTCATGTGGTTCAGACCTCCCAAAGGCTCTTCGGTATATCTGGATTTATGCATGAACTTTTTATATTTTCAACACTAGCAAGAACACACACATAAAAATGTCCATGTTGAATTTAACAGCTGAATTTGTAGAGTTCAGAACTATTTATCTTGGGTTTCTTATTTTGCGTGTGGGTGGTCACCAAATGGTTCAGCTGATCAGTTGGTAACGCTTTCTTTTACGGTACACTTATTACCAGGTAATTAACAGGTAATTACCTAGTAACAACATGAAATTATCTGGTAATTACATGATAACTACTAAGTCAATACTGTCTAGCTACCAAGTAGGTAACCTTCCATCATCATACAAATTTGAAGCTGAACTGCTCTGGTATTTCCAGGATTGTCTCCGCTTCCTGGAACCATCACTTGCGCAGTAGCATTGTACGCATTCGGCGGGTGAGTCGCTGTGATGATGCTCGGCTCAAACAGCGTATCGCTACACAATCTTCACACGCCCATAGGCTGTATCAAGTGTCAATGATAGAAAAGAAGAACCCCAAATAGCTTTTGAAAATGGAGCTGCAAACTAGACAGTATTGACTTAGTAGTTATCATGTAATTACCAGATAATTTAATAGGTAATTACCTGGTAATAAGTGTACTGTAAAAGAAAGCGTTACTGACCAGTTATGTCTGCATCAACTTTTAAATGAACTTTGTTGCACCAAAAACTCAACAGCTGGCACATTCAGCTCTTCAACAACTTTCCCATTTCAGTTTGTTTGTCATAACTCATGCCTGTCTTGCATAAGATTTATTCTGTTGTGATGACTCAGCAAATCTACATTTTGCCTTTTCACTTATATAGTTCAGATTTCCTCATTGGTTAAAGTACATTGAAATCGTACATTAGCTGATTGCCTCAGGTTGTGATTTAAAGCCTTACTTCTTGAAAGGGGTCTGCTGGTGCGGATTTTAAAGTGGCTTTCAGATTCATCAACGTTCAATCTTAGCTAGATGATAAACAATCTGCACCTGCAGTAGCTCTTTTCTTTTTTGAGCTGTCATGGTGAAAATGTAATGAATTAAGTTTATTATTCACCTTTTTCAAGCCCAGTATGTGATCCATTCCAACTTTGGCATGAGAAAGCGATTTATTTTAATCTGCTAAAGGCCACTACTTGCTGTATGGAGCTGAGCAGTAAGTAGTGGTGCAGGTTTTTTCAGCTTCCCTGAAAAACAGCTGTCTATTTTGGCCCAAATTGCAGCAATGCCATGAGAGACATGAGAGATAATGATAATGAAGTCACTGGCCAGACAGCTCATCAGTGTACGCAATGATGGCAATTCTACAGTATTCATCATCACAGGCTACATATTACAAAGTAATGTTGGTTGTTGGTTTAATTATGCAGAAACATGAAATAAAATCAATATTCATTTAATCACATCATTATTACATCTAGAGTTTAATTTCTGTTTTTAAATGATCAGCAGTCCTGTTATAAAATACAGATGTGATTGATTCATCTCAGACGCATTTCTCAAAAGTCTATTCCAAAATGTGATTGGATGGTTTTGTGCAGATGCTAATGTTGGTAATAATCATTTGGCTCTGATGCTGTGGTTGCTGTAGCCTCTGTGCAGCTCAGTTTAGCTCTTCAGTGTTTGCAGCCAAAGAGAAATCTCCTGATGATTAAACAAGTTTTCTTTTGTCTCATATTAGTGCTCCAACCATAGAGGACTGTCCTTATAAAATATGGTGAAACACTGGACGATAAAAGCACAGTGTTATCAGCATAGCAATGGGAATGGGCACTTTTATCCTGAAATTCCTCTACAAAAAGAAGCATAAGTAACAGGAACAGAGCACAGCTTGTTATCTTGCTTCCAGACTCCATCCAAGTGTCTCTATTCCCTACGCAGCAAACCCTTTTTTTCCTTCTGCCAGATGCAGTTTGCATTCTGATGAGATCCTCACGCTCCACATCCTGCCAGACTTGTGCATGGATATTTGCCTTTTATCTCAGTCCAAACATGGAATACTTTAGTTTTGTCGAAGTACTTAAACTTGTTCCATACATTTAAATTTTATAATACTCTGATTAGAAACTCCTGACTCTCCTCAAGTGCACTCACCTCACATTACAGGACTGTGAGTCTTTGTTGAGTTTGTGAAACCAGGACTGCTGGGCCTGACGGCATTCTGCTCTTGTGATCACCCCGTCTTTATCCTGGGTTAGACCCTTGAACACAGACCGTGCGGTATCTCTCTCCTTGGCTGTCAGCACACGCACCAGTGAGTTCTGGAAAAATTAAACACAATAAGAGTCTGATTACTCACTTCGTTGGTGTCTCGGTACAAATAAATGAACAAAAGACGTGGCGTGCAAGAATGATAGGGAAAAGGAGAAAACAAGTGAGTGAGGAAATGTTTGAATATCTGAAAGAAACACTTTTGAAAGTCTTTTTCTCCCAGTTTCCATTTTTAAAGATTTTTTAACTATTGGCTCAGTCTAATAAACTGCTTCCAATCCTTGAAGCCCAAAACCAGATATCCTCTAACTTTGTTTCATTCCAAACTGTATCAGTCGGAGAAACTGGATTATATAACTCCAAGGAGGACTCTCACAAATTACATGAATTATGAAATTAGATGTCAGTTCTTGGCTGTTGGTCATAACTTAAAGGATATCTTCTTTCTGGGTGGTTGGGGGCATTTATGGTTAAGCCTGGTTTATATTATACTGCTGTTAACCCTTGCTTTACCATGGGGGCCAATGCCATCACAAGAGTTGCTACCCGATCCGTCTCAGAAATCCAATTTGTACTGCGCATGTGCGAAACGTACATCACTTCCTCTTTGCCCCTAGTGGTTTGTGACAGTTCCGACACTTGTTCGACAGCTTGAGCATCAGCGAGCTTGCTACAGTCAGAATGGATGCTTCTGTTTATCACCAGCTACGTGCTTTTTTCCTAAATGGCACCCTGACTGAAGCCAGGTGCTGCAAAGAGACACAAGTGAAGGTTTCTACTTTGAGCTTAATTGTAAAATTGCAGCGTAGTTATAAAAGGCTATAATGAGTGTCAATATTTCATTGACCATAATGTGTAGGCTTCTTGTTAATTAAATCAATTTATATATATATATATATATATATATTTTTTTTTGTTAAAAGGGGGTTAAATAAAGATAACGGTTATGTGTTTCATACACAAATTTGCGCTAGCGCAGTACACACGACTAACTACGGTAAGATGCATTGAAATACAAGGAGAAAAAGTGACTTACGCTTCGCACATGAGCAGTACAAATCGGGTTTCAGGGATGGATCCTGTAGCAACAACGAGCACTGCTTACTAGTGTTGGAGCGTTCCATCACTGTGCAAACACTAGTGGGCAGTGCAACTTCTTTAACCGTCATTGTGCTAGCCCCCCCGGTTCATTTCACATTTTGCATTCTCTATTTGTTAGTACACAGCAACCATGGAGGCTGAATTAAAGTCCATGATGCTGGGGTTGTAGCTGATTAGTATTGATCATAACATTAATATTGCCTCAAGGAGAAGAGAGGAGACAGCCGTCAAATTTGTGGTGATGCCAGTAACGTTGCTCCTGCAGGAAATGAGATACTACTCAATGAACCGTGGTCTGTGCATGTCAGGCAACAAACATAGGCTTCTGCATTTGTTGTATGCATTAATTTTTCACATAAGTATGAACAAGGTTTAAGGGAGAAAAATCTGCGCAATTAGAAAAAAATAAATAAAGGGATATTTGCAGATTAATTGTCATTGGATGCTGATGCAAATTCTGTTAACTCTTAAGCCGCTTTAAAGTTCGATTTTCTGATCCATTCAACTTCTTCTACTGTACCTCTGTGCGAAACTTCTTCAACATCGACAAAGACTCAAAGTAGAGGAAGTCCGACCATTCGATGTGACCTTTCTTCTCAGGGTCCAGAGCTGCAAACTGAGCCAATACTTCCTCTTCTTGCTCATCAGTCAGGTCCTTATCAAACTGCTGCTTGGATGCAAAGTGGCGGTACTGCAGTAGCTCATCTGACACCAGGCACGACTCTACAGCAACAAGGAACAATTCATCACATCAGACTTAATTAGTCACCAAGCAGTCTTCCAGATATTATTAACTTGCGGTGACTCATTCCCTACTAAGACAGGACCACCTCCTACTGATTGTACTCCATCCAAGCTGCAGAAAAACACCACACATTTGGAGGTAGGCATGACAAATAATGTTGTAACTTTGACTGGGAAATGTGACACAATAACAATAATATTGAGAACATTTGTATGTTTGCAGTCGCCTCCTCTGTGAGCTAAATATATCTCCCATCACTGTTCATGGCTATGTTTCCTTTGGAGTCTGATAGATCAGGCGGGGTTATCAAGAGATGGTAGATGGAAAGTGCTTTACCAACAAAAAAAGACACAGTTTGAAACGACATGAGTCAAATTTATCAGGCCATGATGGAAACAGATGCACAGAAATGTGCAGATGAGTGTTACAACTTCTGTCTTTAACAATTTAACAACATATGGTGGGGAAAGAGGGAAGTCAGCATTTTTCACGAGGAATGCATGAGTTTATTTTATGCTGAGCGAAGAAGGAACAAAATGAGGCTAAGCATGGCTTATGGATATGAAAAAAAGCCAAAAAGTTCACAGACATGCTCCTCTGAAAGGCTGTACAGGCTGTGGATGCAGTACTGCTTTGAGCTATATGCTAACAGTATACACGACAACAGAAACATTCCTGTCTGTGGAAAGTGAAACACTGACTACTGACTTGTGATCTAATCCATTCGTTGAGTGTGTGTCTCACCTGGAATGATCTTGCACTGTTTGAAGGTCTCCATAAGGCTGTACATCTCCTCCTCTGTTAAAAGGAGATTAAGATTATCCTGAAGAAAAGAAAAGAGGAAGATGAGAATGGAGAAATACACTTACACTGATGCTCTTCCCAGGGCAAGTAATGCATTATTTAACGTTTAATAAGAGAGTGTGCTCTTATTGTAAGAAGTCCCAAATGATGCTGCTGCATAGAACTATGAAACTGTGAATCCATTTTCTGAATCAGTCTGTTCCCTGGGAAATGCAGTCGAATCCCAGTCTCTGTTTATAATTGTACAATGACATAAAAAGAGAAATAAAAGAGGGATTTCTAATTCATTTAAGCAGCAACCCTCATTCACACAGTGGCCTTGACTGAACTCCACAGTTTTTTTTTTATCATGCAGAAGTGTGTGATTCACCCACTAACTAACATCAGCACACGCCCTCATTATACGAGCCGCTGGGATCTGAACATATGTGCTAACAAGCTGCATGATGCCCATCTGCATTTCTTTAATCTGTAATCAGGAATACATGAACTGCCAACGCCCTGCCATCCTGCAGACTGCAGCTTTAATAAAGAGTGTGCTGTACATCTTAGTAATTATGCGGTCCATCCTGCTAATATCTGCTCTCTGTCTTCATTCATTTACCTATCGATCAATCTGAAAACTTGTAAATTAAATTCTAATCTAAACACCTGACGTTACATGTTCATTGTGAGATCAAGAGAATGAAATGTACATTTTTCAAACTGGATAGGAAGACGCTCAGGCAGTTTGCAAGAGTAAAAAATGTGTGAATCCACTTGAGGACTCTGTGCCCTTGTTAAAATTTTGACTAAGTATCACCCTCAGAGTGGAACTATTGGCATAAAATACCATGGCAGAGTGAAAGCTATCACCACAGAGCAGCCAACAGAAGGCTTATACACTAAAAAAAAAAAGAAAAAAAAAACTCCATGCTTTCTTCCACTTTGCTTTGTACGGCTCCTCCAGTATCTGCTCTCGGCAGTTGTACAATAATAAAGGCGGTTAAAAAGACCAACAGGGTTACATTTCAAAGCAGTATGGTCGGTTTAGAGGAAATACAGTAACCATGGTAAATGAAATTGATGGTGTAGTAAATGTTAATCTTTGTTATCATTATTTTAAAGTCGAATCCCAATCATTTTTTTATTACTTTAGTTATCAGTGGTCTTTAAGTTGTGATTATGAAGTTTTTAGCCAAAATAATGTTACTTTCTTACTAGCACTGCATTCCCCTTACGCACAAGCTTCATCTGCAAACATCCTCTCTACTTTCCTGAGTCCGGCCTGCATAGCAGAGTTCTGGAGTTGTGACTTACACAATCTCTGAGTCTGCCATCTGTAACCCAGGTGATAATTCGGCTCCTGCTTCTCATTGTTTATCATATTCAATTCCTGCTTCTCTTTTCGCGGTATTCTTGGATCCTGTTCTCGCGAGATCGATACCTGGCCCACTCGGCCAATCAGAACGAAGTACTTGATGACGTCATGTGGGCATGTGACGCAGCGGTGCCAATCACGTTTGTTTATCATACCGCGGCAATTCAGTGTGAGAGGAAGCAGTGGGGAAGCAGGAGACAGATGAGCAACAGGTCGGTTTTTATCCATTTTCGCTGGTTCTTCACTAATACAAACGGACAACTTTATGTAACAAACTTTATTGAACTCATAGGAGCCCGTTACTAGTCTGTGGTGATTTGAGGAGGGCTGTAGATGTGAAGATTGAACTGTGAACTGGTGAGCAGAATTGTTTGTCTTGATAGCTTAGCCACCTCCATTCAGATGAATGGATGGTGTTAGCTGGATGATGCCAATGCTTAACTCTAAAATGTAACGGTGATTGCTAATATGTAACATTGATTCCTGAATCAAATGTATTGAATGAAATGAGTGTTTAATATAAATGCTGTAAATAAATTTCATTTATTTGGACTAATGGCAAGTGCTATACTTATTGTGGATTATGATGATTATGTTGAGATTATATTGAACTGCAGTACTTTGATTGAAAAGACATGTGTATACACTGAAATTCAAGCAATGTATATTGATTGTGACATTGTGGTTTACTTGAACCCTGGCTTTACAGGCCAGGTTCTCAGATTTTAGATGGCGAGCTTAAAGGAAGTGACCTACAGACCCAGGAAGCCCACATCTCTCCTGCCAGGCTGGTAGGGGCTCCTTGTAGCCGCAACACTCTCACCCCACTGTACAGCCCATCAATCCGGACACACACACACACACACTCCACCCAACATTTACACTTTTCCTCCAATCCTCTGGACTCACACCTTTCCACCCAGACGTGGGTTTTTGTGTTGTGAGGAACTGTTGGTGGCCAAGTGCCCATTACTTATTTGATCATCGCGTTGTTTGACTAACTGATTGAACTGATTTACATTGTCTGACTTCACTGATTTATTGCACTGTACTTCTATTATCATTTCCATGTTATGTATGTCCTTGTATGTCACTGTAAATAATTGCACTGTGGTTATTATCTGCTTGCTTTAATATATGGTACCATTTTAAAAGCAACACTCAGTCTCGTGTCCACTCCTTCCCTGAGCGTTCTCTACTTCTTCTGGTCAAAAGCCCAATATTATACATCAAACCATATCTACATCCACTAAATTGTGTCAGCACAAGTGCTACACATATGAACATGTAGACAACAAGAAAAACATAATTTTCATCCGAGTGGGTCTTTAATATGTAGCAGATACCTCAGCCTCTGTAGATCCTTTCAGGGTCTAGATAGTATATTCAAAGTTTTTGTTTTTCTCTGTTTTTGTAAGCAAAGCATATCTGTGAAACTGAAATCTGTAACACTATCATTTTAATATTGTGTAATCCCTTATAATAACTGCCAACAAAGCAATGAAACTGGCCATCTGCCGTGGATGCTATAATTGTACTGTGTCAAAAATTAGCGCACTAAAAAGAGATTTAAGTGTTGGAACCAAACCTCATAACAGCATCTGGGAAAAAAAAAGCTCTTTATGCCTCAAAAGGTCTCTTGGGAAGTAAGTATAATAATAACCTGTTCTAATCTTGTTCTGACAGCTTTCAAAAATAGATGTTTCACACTGTCCGGCTCTGAAATATAACAGCATTGATCATGTTTTCAAACGTGCTCCAATAAGCCAAAATTAGATGGAAAAAAATTGTTTCATTAGCTTTAAAGCTGCCTGAATCTTACGGTGTGTGAACACTCGCTGATAAAGTGACACAACTGAAGGTGATAAAAAGTTGACTAATTAATGAGGTAGAAAAAATAACAGTTTATAACCCACAACTGCAGCTCTCCTCATGTTTGTGTTGCCTATTTGTGACTATAAGCTCACTGTTTCTGCTCTAATAAGCCTTTTCACCAGCCGCCGAGAAATATCTTTTAACAAAAGAGAGAGAGAGTGAATAAAAAGAGAGCAAGTAATGAACTTACATTCATTACGGTGGGCACAAATGGAAGGAAAAAGAATGCTTATCTTGTTGCATGTCACTTATATCCAACCTATCTTAATGCACCCTTTACAGGAACTTCTCCACTATGAACTGAGCACGACCCCAGGATCTTAGCCCTCAAGGGGTCCTATAATCTTTCATTAAAGAAGTGGTATAGAGAAGGTCACTTAGTGTTCACGAACCCTTCTGCAGTGTGATTGGATACAACGCAGCCATACATGCAGCAGTCTGCTTTGAAGGCTGACTGTAAATCTACTTTCCAGAAAACTGTCCATTGTCAGTCAGAGTGCCTGACTGCATGTGTGAAATTAAATGTCAGATACACAGAAAGGAGGATTTGTAACAGCTGACTGATGTGTTCTAACAAAATGCTGGTTTTCCACCCTCCCTTTGAGGTCCTGAATTCACAATTCGACTCTAGATTTCCTCTCTTTTCCCTTCGAATTGTTTCCATCCACCCTCAATTCCCTTACACACTGAGAAAAGTAAGCCAGAGACAGAGGACCCTTCAGTGTCCTCCTTTCAAAATGTGTGGAACCCCCCACCCCTTCCCCCGAGTGCAAAGTTGGCAAGTTATTTTGTGTCTCAGGGCTGGGAAAAGAAAGAAAAGCACCTACTCCACTCTGGAGGGTTCTTTAGCAAAATTACTCTTCAGCTGTTTCTGCTTACAGTATATTAAAAGAGATTGTTTAATGCCTCCGATAAAGCAGCCATCACCAAAGAGGCACCAGCACAGTGCCGATTCTTCTTCAGAAGCTGTGCATTTGTTTACATGTTGATAAAAAAAGGACCTTTGGCTATGACTATCTTCATTTTCAATCTTCTTCATGAGTCCATCTTCACACTCAGGCCTGATTTAAACGTCTGCATCCAATCTAGACCTTAGCATACAGCCGCCTGATGTGCATCTCTTTACAAATGAAACCTTGCATTAAAGCAGCACAGAAAACAAGCCTTAATTGGTCAGGTTGATATTATCTTAATTCCTGTTTTTACAACACTTACGGTATAGTCACTCACACCGCCTCAGCTGCTGTAGATTCTATCTTTAGGGCCCGAGCGTAGCTGCTAAGCAGCTGCGAGAGCCCTATTATTCCCCAAGTGGTTTTTCTTTGTTTCTTTAGGGCCCGAGCGTAGCTGCTAAGCAGCTGCGAGAGCCCTCTTGTTCCTGATGGATTCTTCTTTTGTTATTATTATTAGGGCCCGAGCGTAGCTGCTAAGCAGCTGCGAGAGCCCTCTTGTTCCTGCATGTTTCCTTCTTTCGTTATTATTTTTCCTCCGCTTTAAACTGGAAAATGGCCCACTTCCCACTGGCGAAAACTCAGGAAATTTGGCAGGACGACCGGGCCTGGTGAAAAATTCGATATTCTGAAGTCGCCCAAACAATAAAATGCAAAATGGCTCCATAGCGCCCCCTAAGGTGAAAATTCACATGACGACTGTACGCTTTGTCATATTGACACAAAAATTGACACACACATGTATCTCAATAAGATCTACAAAAAAGTCAGTGCGGGCGTATCTGTCAAATGTACGGTTAATGGGTTATTTTGCATTTTTTGCAGATCTGCACACATTGGAATTTCGCTAACTCCTCCGAAGGCTTTCGTTCGACTGGCACCACATTTGCGCAGGCCAATCTACCCCCCATGGCCATTAAAAGTTGTACAAATCATGACGCTGCACCCCACGGTTTACGTTCTAGGGGGCGCCAAAGATAACCCAAAATCCACATTCTTAAAAGTCTTATAACTTTTTATTTTTGTCCTCACTGCCCTCCAAGTTTTCTAGGATGATGCAATGTCCAGCCATCAACACATTTGTGAAGGAATTTTTACTCCCCAAAAGAGCGCCCCCCCATGGCAGGAGAAAAAAGTCAATTTTTTCTTGTCCCCTTACATGAAAATACACATTGTTGAGTGTCATGCCTGAACGCTTTGTCATATTGACACAAAAATTGACAATCACGTGTATCTCAATTAGATCTACGAAAAAGTCAAAAAGCTCATATCTGTATAATGTACGGTTAAAGGGCTATTTCGCATTTTTTGCCGATTCGCACACATTGGAATGTGGCTATCTCCTCCTAAGGCTTTCGTCCCACCGATACCAAATTTGCTCAGGGCAATCTACACCCCATGCCCATTCAAAGTTGTAAAAATCATGACGCTGCACCCCACGGTTTACGTTCTAGGGGGCACCAAAGATGACCCAAAAATCCACATTCTTAAAAGTCATTTTGGCCACTGCAGGAGTACAGAGTACTGCAGTTCTAGGGGGCGCCAAAGATGACCCAAAAATCCACATTCTTAAAAGTCTTTTTGGCCACTGCAGGAGTACAGAGTACTGCAGGATACACACACATATACACACACACACACACACACACACACACACACACACACACACACACACTCAGAGTCTGTTTTTTAGCACCTGCAAAAACATGCTGTTTACATATTTGACAAGAATGCAGAGGCTTCCTTTTGCCCCTGAAAAAAATCAAATTTCAAACACAACTTGACTGTTCATTTCTCCAAAAGACAACCATGAAGCTCCATTTCAAACCTGAAGCAGATAGTTGGTGCATGTGTACAGTAACCTGAGGGGAGTGAGGTGACTATTTCTGAGGAGAACATGAGCAGTGAAGATTCACCTTGGAGCTAGAACAGGGACGTGCACATGATTATACAGGGGCAGGGGCTCAAGTTTTTTCCAGTCATTTATACAATATGGAAATTAATGTGAAATTAAACCACAAATATGTGTGATGAACTGTTTTTAAAACTTAAACTTCAAATAAAAATTGTAAACTTCAAAACATATGCAAATTTTTAACAAAGAACATAGTAATTTACCTCTATTTACATCAAAATGCAGGCAATGGCCCAGGCGTTCTTTGTAAAATTATTCACAAAACACTGTATAGTCTCACAAATGTCACTTTTTATTTATGCCACTACAAAAAAACATGATGTAAATGATGCATGATGTAAAACATGATGTAAAAAACTTGTGTAGATCCTCCTCTATGTCAGTCCATGTGTAATTTTTCCATAATTCTTTGTTTTTTGCAGCATTTTTGTTAGTGTAACTGCAGATTGTGCTGACAGTGTCTATGGCACAAAAAAAAAAAAAAATTAAAATGCCTCAACATGAACCCCTGGTGGTCTCTGAGGGTGAAACCTGCTAACTGCTGCAGCTCTGTCAGCTTCAGTCTCCCATGCAGAGCTCTGAGCGCATGTGTGGCTCTGCACCCTCAGCAGCGTTGCTAACTCCTCAGTAAGGAAAGCCTGCTTCATGTCAGAGTCTCTAAACTCCAGAAGAAGTCGATAAAAGTCCCTTTCTTTCTAAAAAAGTCGTTAGGGGGTCTGAAAAGTCATTGAATCTAACAACAAAGTAGCTAGGTTTGCAACTACGTGTCCCAGACTGCATCCCTGCTGAGAGTCCCTCCCTCCCTTCTCATGTTGCAGGAAGAACGTAAGCGCCCGCCCCTTGTCATTCAGTCACCATATAATTTTGGATTGGTTGTTGTGGTGAAGTTTTCCACCAATAGGAGAGATGTTGTGGTGTGTTTTTTTTTTCTTTTGGCAAGCCTTTTCCGCCTGTAAGACCTGTCGCTAATGTCTGCATGCTATGTTTTCCTGTCTCATACAGCGCGATCGAGCGCCGAACGTGATCAAAATAAGCAGAAAAAAAGTATCGCGGACATAATTTATCATAACTCTGGTTTTATTTGGCCTATCAACACAATTTAAAAACTGGTATATAGGTTGAGGTCCTCACTTTTGAGATAAGTTGAAACGGAGAGTCAACGAGGCTCCGTCTTGCAGCTACATCCGGTTAAATATGTCATGTGACTTGAACGCACACACAGACACACACACACGCACACACACACACACACACACACACACACACACACACACACACACACACACACACACACACTCAGAGTCTGGTTTTTAGCACCTGCAAAAACATGCTATTTACATATTTGACAAGAATGCAGAGGCTCCTTTTGCCCCTGAAAAAAATCAAATTTCAAACACAACTTGACTGGTCATTTCTCCAAAAGACAACCATGAAGCTCCATCCAAACCTGAAGCAGGCAGTTGGTGCATGTGTACAGTAACCTGAGGGGAGTGAGGTGAGTGCTTCTGAGGAGAACATGAGCAGTGAAGATTCACCTTGGAGCTAGAACAGAGACATGCACATGATTATACAGGGGCAGGGGCTCAAGTTTTTTCCAGTCGTTTATACAATATGGAAATTAATGTGAAATTAAAACACAAAGTATTAATAGAAAGGTAATGACTGTCCTGTGTAGGTGACAGTGATATCGAATAGGCTAGGCACTCACGAGGCTGGCTGTGGCAAGTGTAAGTGAAAGCAACACGCACTGGCAGGAAGAACAGCAAACGCCGATGAAGGAAAAGGGTCTTTGCAGTGATGGGCGTTACCAGAGAGGGCGATGGCCAGAGGACACAAATGGGACGGGGAGGCAGCACGTTGGGGGGGCGGGACACGGCTCGGGCCCGCCAGTGCCCCAACGGGGTCCTAGTTATTATTTTTCCTCCGCTTTAAACTGGAAAATGGCCCACTTCCCACTGGCGAAAACTCATGAAATTTGGCAGGACGACCGGGCCTGGTGAAAAATTCGATATTCTGAAGTCGCCCAAACAAGAAAATGCAAAATGGCTCCATAGCGCCCCCTAAGGTGAAAATTCACACTATTGACTGTCACGCCTGTACGCTTTGTCATATTGACACAAAAATTGACACACACATGTATCTCAATAAGATCTACAAAAAAGTCAGTGCGGGCGTATCTGTCAAATGTACGGTTAAAGGGTTATTTTGCATTTTTTGCAGATCCGCACACATTGGAATTTCGCTAACTCCTCCGAAGGCTTTCGTTCCACCGGCACCACATTTGCTCAGGCCAATCTACACTCCATGGCCATTCAAAGTTGTACAAATCATAATGCTGCACCCCATGGTTTAGGTTCTAGGGGGCGCCAAAAATAACCCAAAAATCCACATTCTTAAAAGTTTTATAAATTTTTTTTTTTGTCCTCACTGGCCTCCAAGTTTTCTAGGATGATGCAATGTCCAGCCATCAACACATTTGTGAAGGAATTTTTACTCCCCAAAAGAGCGCCCCCCATGGCAGGAATAAAAAGTCCATTTTTTCTTGTCCCCTAAGGTGAAAATACACATTGTTGAGTGTCACGCCTGTACGCTTTGTCGTATTGACAAAAAATTTGACACACACGTGTATCTCAATAAGATCTACGAAAAAGTCAATGGGCGCGTATCTGTAAAATGTACGGCTAAAGGGCTATTTTGCATTTTTTGCCGATTCGCACACATTGGAATGTGGCTAACTCCTCCTAAGGCTTTCGTCCCACTGACACCAAATTTGCTCAGGCCAATCTACACCCCATGGCCATTCAAAGTTGTAAAAATCATGCCGCTGCACCCCATGGTTTACGTTCTAGGGGGCGCCAAAGATGACCCAAATATCCACATTCTTAAAAGTCGTTTTGGCCACTGCAGGAGTACAGAGTACTGCAGGATACACACACACAGACACACACACACACAGACACACACACACACACACACACACACACACACACTCAGAGTCTGTTTTTTAGCACCTGCAAAAACATGCTATTTACATATTTGACAAGAATGCAGAGGCTTCCTTTTGCCCCTGAAAAAAATCAAATTTCTAACACAACTTGACTGCTCATTTCTCCAAAAGACAACCATGAAGCTCCATCCAAACCTGAAGCAGGCAGTTGGTGCATGTGTACAGTAACCTGAGGGGAGTGAGGTGACTGCTTCTGAGGAGAACATGAGCAGTGAAGATTCACCTTGGAGCGAGAACAGGGACGTGCACATGATTATACGGGGGCAGGGGCTCAAGTTTTTTCCAGTCGTTTATACAATATGGAAATTAATGTGAAATTAAAAAACAAAGTATTAATAGAAAGGTAATGACTGTCCTGTGTAGGTGACAGTGATATCCAATAGGCTAGGCACTCACAAGGCTGGCTGTGGCAAGTGTAAGTGAAAGCAACACGCACTGGCAGGAAGAACAGCAAACGCCGATGAAGGAAAAGGGTCTTTGCAGTGATGGGCGTTACCAGAGAGGACGATGGCCAGAGGACGCGAATGGGACGGGGAGGCAGCGCGTTGGGGGGGGGGGGGGGGGGGCGACACAGCTCGGGCCCGCCAGTGCCCCAACGGGGCCCTAGTGTTATTATTAGGGCCCGAGCGTAGCTGCTAAGCAGCTGCGAGAGCCCTCTTGTTCCTGTAGTTTCCTTCTTTTGTTATTAGGGCCCGAGCCAGCTGCAGAGCAGCCGGGCGTAGGCCCTATTATTCCCCAAGGGGTTTTTCTTTGTTTCTTTCTTTCTTTCTTTCTTCTTTTTCCTCCCCTTTGAACTGGAAAATGGCCCACTTCCCACTGGCGAAAACTCATGAAATTTGGCAGGACGACCGGGCCTGGTGAAAAATTCGATATTCTGAAGTCGCCCAAACAATAAAATGCAAAATGGCTCCATAGCGCCCCCTAAGGTGGAAATTCACACTATTGACTGTCACGCCTGTACGCTTTGTCAAAATGACACAAAAATTGACACACACATGTATCTCAATAAGATCTACAAAAAAGTCCATGCGCGCGTATCTGTCTAATGTACGGTTAAAGGGTTATTTTGCATTTTTTGCCGATCCGCACACATTGGAATTTCGCTAACTCCTCCGAAGGCTTTCGTTCCACCGGCACCACATTTGCTCAGGCCAATCTACACCCCATGGCCATTAAAAGTTATTCAAATCATGACGCTGCACCCCACGGTTTACGTTCTAGGGGGCGCCAAAGATAACCCAAAAATCCACATTTTTAAAAGTCTTATAACTTTTTATTTTTGCCCTCACTGGCCTCCAAGTTTTCTAGGATGATGCAATGTCCAGCCATCAACACATTTGTGAAGGAATTTTTACTCCCCAAAAGAGCGCCCCCCATGGCAGGAGAAAAAAGTCCATTTTTTCTTGTCCCCTAAGGTGAAAATTCACACTATTGACTGTCACGCCTGTACGCTTTGTCAAAATGACACAAAAATTGACACACACATGTATCTCAATAAGATCTACAAAAAAGTCCATGCGCGCGTATCTGTCTAATGTACGGTTAAAGGGTTATTTCGCATTTTTTGCCGATCCGCACACATTGGAATTTCGCTAACTCCTCCGAAGGCTTTCGTTCCACCGGCACCACATTTGCTCAGGCCAATCTACACCCCATGGCCATTAAAAGTTATTCAAATCATGACGCTGCACCCCACGGTTTACGTTCTAGGGGGCGCCAAAGATAACCCAAAAATCCACATTTTTAAAAGTCTTATAACTTTTTATTTTTGTCCTCACTGGCCTCCAAGTTTTCTAGGATGATGCAATGTCCAGCCATCAACACATTTGTGAAGGAATTTTTACTCCCCAAAAGAGCGCCCCCCCATGGCAGGAGAAAAAAGTCCATTTTTTCTTGTCCCCTAAGGTGAAAATACACATTGTTGAGTGTCACGCCTGTACGCTTTGGCAAAATGACACAAAAATTGACAATCATGTGTATCTCAATTAGATCTACGAAAAAGTCAAAGAGCGCGTATCTGTAAAATGTACGGTAAAAGGGCTATTTTGCATTTTTTGCCGATTCGCACACATTGGAATTTCGCTAACTCCTCCTAAGGCTTTCGTCCCACTGACACCAAATTTGCTCAGGCCAATCTACACTCCATGGCCATTCAAAGTTGTAAAAATCATGACGCTGCACCCCACGGTTTACGTTTTAGGGGGCGCCAAAGATGACCCAAAAATCCACATTCTTAAAAGAATCCACATCCCCCCCCCCCATCCCCCATCCCCCATGGCAGGAGAAACAGTCAAGTTTTTCCTGCCCATCACTCAATGGCTCAATCGCATCGCTCTCCCGGCAACACCGTAAGGAGGAGCAATCTGCCATTTGGATATATCCTAGCTGTGTTTGTGCCCTCACTCATGGTCCAGACTTTTTTCAAATAGGACATGTAGTTTGTCTGCAGCGAGTGTTTTGGTAGAAACTGCGCCTCCCATTCATTTTAATGGGAAATGACCACAGACAAGTGCGCACACCATCTTTGGACCTTGAGTGTGACGCGATCGGGAGGGGGAGGCGGTCGCGCTGGGGGCGGCGCAACGCGGCTCGGGCCCGACAGTGCCCCACCGGGGCCCTAGTTAGGGCCCGAGCGTAGCTGCTAAGCAGCTGCGAGAGCCCTCTTGTTCCTGTAGTTTCCTTCTTTTGTTATTATTATTATTTTTCCTCCCCTTTGAACTGGAAAATGGCCCACTTCCCACTGGCGAAAACTCATGAAATTTGGCAGGACGACCGGGCCTGGTGAAAAATTCGATATTCTGAAGTCGCCCAAACAATAAAATGCAAAATGGCTCCATAGCGCCCCCTAAGGTGGAAATTCACACTATTCACTGTCACGCCTGTACGCTTTGTCAAAATGACACAAAAATTGACACACACATGTATCTCAATAAGATCTACAAAAAAGTCAGTGCGGGCGTATCTGTCAAATGTACGGTTAAAGGGTTATTGCGCATTTTTTGCCGATCCGCACACATTGGAATTTCGCTAACTCCTCCGAAGGCTTTCGTTCCACCGGCACCACATTTGCTCAGGCCAATCTACACCCCATGGCCATTAAAAGTTATTCAAATCATGACGCTGCACCCCACGGTTTAGGTTCTAGGGGGCGCCAAAGATAACCCTAAAATCCACATATTTCAAAGTCTTATAACTTTTTATTTTTGCCCTCACTGGCCTCCAAGTTTTCTAGGATGATGCAATGTCCAGCCATCAACACATTTGTGAAGGAATTTTTACTCCCCAAAAGAGCGCCCCCCATGGCAGGAGAAAAAAGTCCATTTTTTCTTGTCCCATAAGGTGAAAATTCACACTATTGACTGTCACGCCTGTACGCTTTGTCAAAATTACACAAAAATTGACACACACATGTATCTCAATAAGATCTACAAAAAAGTCAGTGCTGGCGTATCTGTCAAATGTACGGTTAAAGGGTTATTGCGCATTTTTTGCCGATCCGCACACATTGGAATTTCGCTAACTCCTCCGAAGGCTTTCGTTCCACCGGCACCACATTTGCTCAGGCCAATCTACACCCCATGGCCATTAAAAGTTATTCAAATCATGACGCTGCACCCCACGGTTTAGGTTCTAGGGGGCGCCAAAGATAACCCTAAAATCCACATATTTAAAAGTCTTATAACTTTTTATTTTTGTCCTCTCTGGCCTCCAAGTTTTCTAGGATGATGCAATGTCCAGCCATCAACACATTTGTGAAGGAATTTTTACTCCCCAAAAGAGCGCCCCCCCCATGGCAGGAGAAAAAAGTCCATTTTTTCTTGTCCCATAAGGTGAAAATACACATTGTTGACTGTCATACCTGTATGCTTTGTCATATTGACACAAAAAATTGACACACACATGTATCTCAATAAGATCTACGAAAAAGTCAATGCGCGCGTATCTGTAAAATGTACGGTTAAAGGGCTATTTTGCATTTTTTGCCGATTCGCACACATTGGAATGTGGCTAACTCCTCCTAAGGCTTTCGTCCCAATGACACCAAATTTGCTCAGGCCAATCTACACCCCATGGCCATTCAAAGTTTTAAAAATCATGACGCTGCACCCCACGGTTTACGTTCTAGGGGGCGCCAAAGATGACCCAAATATCCACATTCTTAAAAGAATCCACATCCCTCCCCCCCATCCCCCATCCCCCATCCCCCATGGCAGGAGAAACAGTCAAGTTTTTCCTGCCCATCATTCAATGGCTCAATCGCATCGCTCTCCCGGCAACACCGTAACGAGGAGCAACTTGCCGTTTGGATATATCCTAGCTGTGTTTGTGCCCTCACTCATGGTCCAGACTTTTTTCAAATAGGACATGTAGTTTGTCTGCAGCGAGTGTTTTGGTAGAAACTGCGCCTCCCATTCATTATAATGGGAAAAGACCACAGACAAGTGCGCACACCAACTTTGGACCTTGAGTGTGACGCGATCGGGAGGGGGAGGCGGTCGCACTGGGGGCGGCGCAACGCGGCTCGGGCCCGCCAGTGCCCCAACGGGGCCCTAGTTATTATTTTTCCTCCCCTTTGAACTGGAAAATGGCCCACTTCCCACTGGCGAAAACTCATGAAATTTGGCAGGACGACCGGGCCTGGTGAAAAATTTGATATTCCGAAGTCGCCCAAACAAGAAAATGCAAAATGGCTCCATAGCGCCCCCTAAGGTGAAAATTCACACTATTGACTGTCACGCCTGTACGCTTTGTCAAAATGACACAAAAATTGACACACACATGTATCTCAATAAGATCTACAAAAAAGTCAGTGCGGGCGTATCTGTCAAATGTACGGTTAAAGGGTTATTTCGCATTTTTTGCCGATCCGCACACATTGGAATTTCGCTAACTCCTCCGAAGGCTTTCGTTCCACCGGCACCACATTTGCTCAGGCCAATCTACACCCCATGGCCATTAAAAGTTATTCAAATCATGATGCTGCACCCCACGGTTTAGGTTCTAGGGGGCGCCAAAGATAACCCTAAGATCCACATATTTAAAAGTCTTATAACTTTTTATTTTTGCCCTCACTGGCCTCCAAGTTTTCTAGGATGATGCAATGTCCAGCCATCAACACATTTGTGAAGGAATTTTTACTCCCCAAAAGAGCGCCCCCCCATGGCAGGAGAAAAAAGTCCATTTTTTCTTGTCCCCTAAGGTGAAAATACACATTGTTGAGTGTAACACCTGTACGCTTTGGCAAAATGACACAAAAATTGACACACACATGTATCTCAATAAGATCTACGAAAAAGTCAATGCGCGCGTATCTGTCAAATGTACGGTTAAAGGGTTATTCCGCATTTTTTGCCGATCCGCACACATTGGAATTTCGCTAACTCCTCCGAAGGCTTTCGTTCCACCGGCACCACATTTGCTCAGGCCAATCTACACCCCATGGCCATTAAAAGTTATTCAAATCATGACGCTGCACCCCACGGTTTAGGTTCTAGGGGGCGCCAAAGATAACCCTAAAATCCACATATTTAAAAGTCTTATAACTTTTTATTTTTGTCCTCACTGGCCTCCAAGTTTTCTAGGATGATGCAATGTCCAGCCATCAACACATTTGTGAAGGAATTTTTACTCCCCAAAAGAGCGCCCCCCCATGGCAGGAGAAAAAAGTCAATTTTTTCTTGTCCCCTAAGGTGGAAATTCACACTATTGACTGTCACGCCTGTACGCTTTATCATATTGACACAAAATTTGACAATCACATGTATCTCAATAAGATCTACAAAAAAGTCAAAAAGCGCGTATCTGTATAATGTATGGTTAAAGGGCTATTTCGCATTTTTTGCCGATTCGCACACATTGGAATGTGGCTATCTCCTCCTAAGGCTTTCGTCCCACTGACACCAAATTTGCTCAGGCCAATCTACACCCCATGGCCATTCAAAGTTGTAAAAATCATGACGCTGCACCCCACGGTTTACGTTCTAGGGGGCGCCAAAGATGACCCAAATATCCACATTCTTAAAAGTCATTTTGGCCACTGCAGGAGTACAGAGTACTGCATTTCTAGGGGGCGCCAAAGATGACCCAAAAATCCACATTCTTAAAAGTCTTTTTGGCCACTGCAGGAGTACAGAGTACTGCAGGATACACACACATACACACACACACACACACACACACACACACACTCAGAGTCTGTTTTTTAGCACCTGCAAAAACATGCTGTTTACATATTTGACAAGAATGCAGAGGCTTCCTTTTGCCCCTGAAAAAAATCAGATTTCAAACACAACTTGACTGTTGATTTCTCCAAAAGACAACCATGAAGCTCCATCCAAACCTGAAGCAGATAGTTGGTGCATGTGTACAGTAACCTGAGGGGAGTGAGGTGACTATTTCTGAGGAGAACATGAGCAGTGAAGATTCACCTTGGAGCTAGAACAGGGACGTGCACATGATTATACAGGGGCAGGGGCTCAAGTTTTTTCCAGTCATTTATACAATATGGAAATTAATGTGAAATTAAACCACAAATATGTGTGATGAACTGTTTTTAAAAATTTAACTTCAAATAAAAATTGTAAACTTCAAAACATATGCAAATTTTTAACAAAGAACATAGTAATTTACCTCTATTTACATCAAAATGCAGGCAATGGCCCAGGCGTTCTTTGTAAAATTATTTACAAAACACTGTATAGTCTCACAAATGTCACTTTTTATTTATGCCACTACAAAAAAACATGATGTAAATGATGCATGATGTAAAACATGATGTAAAAAACTTGTGTAGATCCTCCTCTATGTCAGTCCATGTGTAATTTTTCCATAATTCTTTGTTTTTTGCAGCATTTTTGTTAGTGTAACTGCAGATTGTGCTGACAGTCTATGGCAAAAAAAACAAAAACTGAAAATGCCTCAACATGAACCCCTGGTGGTCTCTGAGGGTGAAACCTGCTAACTGCTGCAGCTCTGTCAGCTTCAGTCTCCCATGCAGAGCTCTGAGCGCATGTGTGGCTCTGCACCCTTAGCAGCATTGCTAACTCCTCAGTAAGGAAAGCCTGCTTCATGTCAGAGTCTCTAAACTCCAGAAGAAGTCGATAAAAGTCCCTTTCTTTCTAAAAAAAAGTCGTTAGGGGGTCTGAAAAGTCATTGAATCTAACAACAAAGTCGCTAGGTTTGCAACTACGTGTCCCAGACTGCATCCCTGCTGAGAGTCCCTCCCTCCCTTCTCATGTTGCAGGAAGAACGTAAGCGCCCGCCCCTTGTCAATCAGTCACCATATAATTTTGGATTGGTTGTTGTGGTGAAGTTTTCCACCAATAGGAGAGATGTTGTGGTGTGTTTTTTTTTTTCTTTTGGCAAGCCTTTTCCGCCTGTAAGACCTGTCGCTAATGTGTGCATGCTATGTTTTCCTGTCTCATACAGCGCGATCGAGCGCCGAACGTGATCAAAATAAGCAGAAAAAAAGTATCGCGGACATAATTTATCATAACTCTGGTTTTATTTGGCCTATCAACACAATTTAAAAACTGGTATATAGGTTGAGGTCCTCACTTTTGAGATAAGTTGAAACGGAGAGTTAACGAGGCTCCGACTTGCAGCTACATCCGGTTAAATATGTCATGTGACTTGAACGCTGGGGAGCGTCAATCGAATCGAATCAAACCTAACTCTCAGATGAATCTTCAAAATTCACCTCAGAAATATGCTTATTATTCTTCTCAGAGTACTGCAGGATACACACACACACACACACACAGACACACACACACACACACACGCACACACACACACACACTCAGAGTCTGTTTTTTAGCACCTGCAAAAACATGCTATTTACATATTTGACAAGAATGCAGAGGCTTCCTTTTGCCCCTGAAAAAAATCAAATTTCAAACACAACTTGACTGCTCATTTCTCCAAAAGACAACCATGAAGCTCCATCCAAACCTGAAGCAGGCAGTTGGTGCATGTGTACAGTAACCTGAGGGGAGTGAGGTGACTGCTTCTGAGGAGAACATGAGCAGTGAAGATTCACCTTGGAGCTAGAACAGGGACGTGCACATGATAATACAGGGGCAGGGGCTCAAGTTTTTTCCAGTCGTTTATACAATATGGAAATTAATGTGAAATTAAAAAACAAAGTATGACTGTCCTGTGTAGGTGACAGTGATATCCAATAGGCTAGGCACTCACGAGGCTGGCTGTGGCAAGTGTAAGTGAAAGCAACACGCACTGGCAGGAAGAACAGCAAACGCCGATGAAGGAAAAGGGTCTTTGCAGTGATGGGCGTTACCAGAGAGGGCGATGGCCAGAGGACGCGAATGGGACGGGGAGGCAGCGCGTTGGGGGGGGCGGCGCGACACGGCTCGGGCCCGCCAGTGCCCCAACGGGGCCCTAGTTAGGGCCCGAGCCAGCTGCAGAGCAGCCGGGCGTAGGCCCTATTATTCCCCAAGTGGTTTTTCTTTGTTTCTTTCTTTCTTTTTTCTTTTTCCTCCCCTTTGAACTGGAAAATGGCCCACTTCCCACTGGCGAAAACTCATGAAATTTGGAAGGACGACGGGGCCTGGTGAAAAATTTGATATTCTGAAGTCGCCAAAACAATAAAATGCAAAATGGCTCCATAGCGCCCCCTAAGGTGAAAATTCACACTATTCACTGTCACGACTGTACGCTTTGTCAAAATGACACAAAAATTGACACACACATGTATCTCAATAAGATCTACAAAAAAGTCAGTGCGGCCGTATCTGTCAAAATTACGGTTAAAGGGTTATTTCGCATTTTTTGCCGATCTGCACACATTGGAATTTCGCTAACTCCTCCGAAGGCTTTCGTTCCACCGGCACCACATTTGCTCAGGCCAATCTACACCCCGTGGCCATTAAAAGTTATCAAAATCATGACGCTGCACCCCAAGGTTTAGGTTCTAGGGGGCGCCAAAGATAACACTAAAATCCACATATTTAAAAGTCTTATAACTTTTTATTTTTGTCCTCACTGGCCTCCAAGTTTTCTAGGATGATGCAATGTCCAGCCATCAACACATTTGTGAAGGAATTTTTACTCCCCAAAAGAGCGCCCCCCCATGGCAGGAGAAAAAAGTCCATTTTTTCTTGTCCCCTAAGGTGAAAATACACATTGTTGAGTGTCACGCCTATACGCTTTGTCAAAATGACACAAAAATTGACACACACATGTAACTCAATAAGATCTACGAAAAAGTCAGTGCGGGCGTATCTGTCAAATGTACGGTTAAAGGGTTATTCCGCATTTTTTGCCGATCCGCACACATTGGAATTTCGCTAACTCCTCCGAAGGCTTTCGTTCCACCGGCACCACATTTGCTCAGGCCAATCTACACCCCATGGCCATTAAAAGTTATCAAAATCATGACGCTGCACCCCACGGTTTAGGTTCTAGGGGGCGCCAAAGATAACCCTAAAATCCACATATTTAAAAGTCTTATAACTTTTTATTTTTGTCCTCACTGGCCTCCAAGTTTTCTAGGATGATGCAATGTCCAGCCATCAACACATTTGTGAAGGAATTTTTACTCCCCAAAAGAGCGCCCCCCCATGGCAGGAGAAAAAAGTCCATTTTTTCTTGTCCCCTAAGGTGAAAATACATATTGTTGAGATTCACGCCTATACGCTTTGTCATATTGACACAAAATTTGACAATCACGTGCCTTGCCTGGTATCATTTTTTTCAGCACAACCTCACCTGTGCGAATTTACAGTTATTTTATCATGTTGACATACTGAATTTACACAATGGACCCAAATTCACACACAAAACATAAAATCCGAGTGGAAAAAAGTAACATTTTTACTGTGAAAACCACAAATATGTGTGATGAACTGTTTTTAAAACTTAAACTTCAAATAAAAATTGTAAACTTCAAAACATATGCAAATTTTTAACAAAGAACATAGTGATTTACCTCTATTTACATCAAAATGCAGGCAATGGCCCAGGCGTTCTTTGTAAAATTATTTACAAAACACTGTATAGTCTCACAAATGTCACTTTTTATTTATGCCACTACAAAAAAACATGATGTAAATGATGCATGATGTAAAACATGATGTAAAAAACTTGTGTAGATCCTCCTGTATGTCAGTCCATGTGTAATTTTTCCATAATTCTTTGTTTTTTGCAGCATTTTTGTTAGTGTAACTGCAGATTGTGCTGACAGTGTCTATGGCACAAAAAAAAAATTTAAAATGCCTCAACATGAACCCCTGGTGGTCTCTGAGGGTGAAACCTGCTAACTGCTGCAGCTCTGTCAGCTTCAGTCTCCCATGCAGAGCTCTGAGCGCATGTGTGGCTCTGCACCCTTAGCAGCGTTGCTAACTCCTCAGTAAGGAAAGCCTGCTTCATGTCAGAGTCTCTAAACTCCAGAAGAAGTCGATAAAAGTCCCTTTCTTTCTAAAAAAAAGTCGTTAGGGGGTCTGAAAAGTCATTGAATCTAACAACAAAGTCGCTAGGTTTGCAACTACGTGTCCCAGACTGCATCCCTGCTGAGAGTCCCTCCCTCCCTTCTCATGTTGCAGGAAGAACGTAAGCGCCCGCCCCTTGTCAATCAGTCACCATATAATTTTGGATTGGTTGTTGTGGTGAAGTTTTCCACCAATAGGAGAGATGTTGTGGTGTGTTTTTTTTTTCTTTTGGCAAGCCTTTTCCGCCTGTAAGAGCTGTCGCTAATGTCTGCATGCTATGTTTTCCTGTCTCATACAGCGCGATCGAGCGCCGAACGTGATCAAAATAAGCAGAAAAAAAGTATCGCGGACATAATTTATCATAACTCTGGTTTTATTTGGCCTATCAACACAATTTAAAAACTGGTATATAGGTTGAGGTCCTCACTTTTGAGATAAGTTGAAACGGAGAGTCAACGAGGCTCCGTCTTGCAGCTACATCCGGTTAAATATGTCATGTGACTTGAACGCACACACAGACACACACACGCACACACACACACACACACACACTCAGAGTCTGGTTTTTAGCACCTGCAAAAACATGCTATTTACATATTTGACAAGAATGCAGAGGCTCCTTTTGCCCCTGAAAAAAATCAAATTTCAAACACAACTTGACTGGTCATTTCTCCAAAAGACAACCATGAAGCTCCATCCAAACCTGAAGCAGGCAGTTGGTGCATGTGTACAGTAACCTGAGGGGAGTGAGGTGAGTGCTTCTGAGGAGAACATGAGCAGTGAAGATTCACCTTGGAGCTAGAACAGAGACATGCACATGATTATACAGGGGCAGGGGCTCAAGTTTTTTCCAGTCGTTTATACAATATGGAAATTAATGTGAAATTAAAACACAAAGTATTAATAGAAAGGTAATGACTGTCCTGTGTAGGTGACAGTGATATCCAATAGGCTAGGCACTCACGAGGCTGGCTGTGGCAAGTGTAAGTGAAAGCAACACGCACTGGCAGGAAGAACAGCAAACGCCGAAGAAGGAAAAGGGTCTTTGCAGTGATGGGCGTTACCAGAGAGGGCGATGGCCAGAGGACACAAATGGGACGGGGAGGCAGCACGTTGGGGGGGGACGCGACACGGCTCGGGCCCGCCAGTGCCCCAACGGGGTCCTAGTTTTTCTTTTTCCTCCCCTTTGAACTGGAAAATGGCCCACTTCCCACTGGCGAAAACCCATGAAATTTGGCAGGACGACCGGGCCTGGTGAAAAATTTGATATTCTGAAGTCGCCCAAACAATACAATGCAAAATGGCTCCATAGCGCCCCCTAAGGTGAAAAATTCACCTGACGCCTGTACGCTTGGTCAAAATGACACAAAAATTGACACACACATGTATCTCAATAAGATCTACAAAAAAGTCAGTGCGGGCGTATCTGTCAAATGTACGGTTAAAGGGTTATTGCGCATTTTTTGCCGATCCGCACACATTGGAATTTCGCTAACTCCTCCGAAGGCTTTTGTTCCACCGGCACCACATTTGCTCAGGCCAATCTACACCCCATGGCCATTAAAAGTTATTCAAATCATTATGCTGCACCCCACGGTTTAGGTTCTAGGGGGCGCCAAAGATAACCCTAAAATCCACATATTTCAAAGTCTTATAACTTTTTATTTTTGCCCTCACTGGCCTCCAAGTTTTCTAGGATGATGCAATGTCCAGCCATCAACACATTTGTGAAGGAATTTTTACTCCCCAAAAGAGCGCCCCCCCATGGCAGGAGAAAAAAGTCCATTTTTTCTTGTCCCGTAAGGTGAAAATTCACATTGTTGAGTGTGACACCTGTACGCTTTGTCATATTGACACAAAATTTGACTATCACGTGTATCTCAATAAGATCTACGAAAAAGTCAATGTGCGCGTATCTGTCAAATGTACGGTTAAAGGGTTATTCCGCATTTTTTGCCGATCCGCACACATTGGAATTTCGCTAACTACTCCGAAGGCTTTCGTTCCACCGGCACCACATTTGCTCAGGCCAAATTACACCCCATGGCCATTAAAAGTTATTCAAATCATGACGCTGCACCCCACGGTTTACGTTCTAGGGGGCGCCAAAGATAACCCAAAAATCCACATTTTTAAAAGTCTTATAACTTTTTATTTTTGTCCTCACTGGCCTCCAAGTTTTCTAGGATGATGCAATGTCCAGCCATCAACACATTTGTGAAGGAATTTTTACTCCCTAAAAGAGCGCCCCCCCATGGCAGGAGAAAAAAGTCCATTTTTTCTTGTCCCCTAAGGTGAAAATACACATTGTTGACTGTCACGCCTGTACGCTTTGGCAAAATGACACAAAAATTGACAATCATGTGTATCTCAATTAGATCTATGAAAAAGTCAAAGAGCGCGTATCTGTATAATGTACGGTAAAAGGGCTATTTTGCATTTTTTGCCGATTCGCACACATTGGAATTTCGCTAACTCCTCCTAAGGCTTTCGTCCCAATGACACCAAATTTGCTCAGGCCAATCTACACTCCATGGCCATTCAAAGTTGTAAAAATCATGACGCTGCACCCCACGGTTTACGTTTTAGGGGGCGCCAAAGATGACCCAAATATACATTACAGTAGACAAAGTAGTTTTGCCCACTGAGTGGCGCCAAAGGGACTTGTCTGTGGAGTCTGTGAGTCACTATTGGCCGTTTTTGACTACTTTAGATTTTACCTTTATATTTCCTCTTACAAAATTTTTACCTTGCCTTGCCTGGTATCATTTTTTTCAGCACAACCTCACCTGTGTCAATTTACAGTTATTTTATCATTTTGACATACTATATTTACACATTGGACCCAAATTCACACACAAAACATAAAATCCGAGTGGAAAAAAGTAACGTTTTTACTGTGAAAACCACAAATATGTGTGATGAACTGTTTTTAAAACTTAAACTTCAAATAAAAATTGTAAACTTCAAAACATATGCAAATTTTTAACAAAGAACATAGTAATTTACCTCTATTTACATCAAAATGCAGGCAATGGCCCAGGTGTTCTTTGTAAAATTATTTACAAAACACTGTATAGTCTCACAAATGTCACTTTTTATTTATGCCACTACAAAAAAACATGATGTAAATGATGCATGATGTAAAACATGATGTAAAAAACTTGTGTAGATCCTCCTCTGTTAGAATTATGGAAAAATTACACATGGACTTTGTTTTTTGCAGCATTTTTGTTAGTGTAACTGCAGATTGTGCTGACAGTGTCTATGGCAAAAAAAAAAAAAAACTGAAAATGCCTCAACATGAACCCCTGGTGGTCTCTGAGGGTGAAACCTGCTAACTGCTGCAGCTCTGTCAGCTTCAGTCTCCCATGCAGAGCTCGGAGCGCATGTGTGGCTCTGCACCCTTAGCAGCGTTGCTAACTCCTCAGTAAGGAAAGCCTGCTTCATGTCAGAGTCTCTAAACTCCAGAAGAAGTCGATAAAAGTCACTTTCTTTCTAAAAAAAAGTCGTTAGGGGGTCTGAAAAGTCATTGAATCTAACAACAAAGTCGCTAGGTTTGCAACTACGTGTCCCAGACTGCATCCCTGCTGAGAGTCCCTCCCTCCCTTCTCATATTGCAGGAAGAACGTAAGCGCCCGCCCCTTGTCAATCAGTCACCATATAATTTTGGATTGGTTGTTGTGGTGAAGTTTTCCACCAATAGGAGAGATGTTGTGGTGTGTTTTTTTTTTTCCTTTGGCAAGCCTTTTCCGCCTGTAAGACCTGTCGCGAATGTCTGCATGCTATGTTTTCCTGTCTCATACAGCGCGATCGAGCGCCGAACGTGATCAAAATAAGCAGAAAACAAGTATCGCGGACATAATTTATCATAACTCTGGTTTTATTTGGCCTATCAACACAATTTAAAAACTGGTATATAGGTTGAGGTCCTCACTTTTGAGATAAGTTGAAACGGAGAGTCAACGAGGCTCCGTCTTGCAGCTACATCCGGTTAAATATGTCATGTGACTTGAACGCACACACACACACACACACACACACAGACACACACACACACGCACACACACACACTCAGAGTCTGGTTTTTAGCACCTGCAAAAACATGCTATTTACATATTTGACAAGAATGCAGAGGCTCCTTTTGCCCCTGAAAAAAATCAAATTTCAAACACAACTTGACTGGTCATTACTCCAAAAGACAACCATGAAGCTCCATCCAAACCTGAAGCAGGCAGTTGGTGCATGTGTACAGTAACCTGAGGGGAGTGAGGTGACTGCTTCTGAGGAGAACATGAGCAGTGAAGATTCACCTTAGAGCTAGAACAGAGACGTGCACATGATTATACAGGGGCAGGGGCTCAAGTTTTTTCCAGTTGTTTATACAATATGGAAATTAATGTGAAATTAAAAAACAAAGTATTAATAGAAAGGTAATGACTGTCCTGTGTAGGTGACAGTGATATCCAATAGGCTAGGCACTCACGAGGCTGGCTGTGGCAAGTGTAAGTGAAAGCAACACGCACTGGCAGGAAGAACAGCAAACGCCGATGAAGGAAAAGGGTCTTTGCAGTGATGGGCGTTACCAGAGAGGGCGATGGCCAGAGGACACAAATGGGACGGGGAGGCAGCGCGTTGGGGGGGGGGACGCGACACAGCTCGGGCCCGCCAGTGCCCCAACGGGGTCCTAGTTTCTAATAACTCTCTGTTCAACTCTACAGTTATTGCAGTTTGTTTAACTTCTGCTCCACACCGATCAACCCAAACTCCAATACAAAAGCCTGGTTCATTCAACATGGTTTCCTGCTGTAGGGGAGCTGGAAACGGGTGATATGATGAGCAAAGAAATCTCTACTAACTGGTGTTAAGGTGCAGAGCAGCATAGACACTCCGATGCACAGGTTTGTGGTGCATATGATGGCATAAATCACTCTGGAGTAGCTCGGCTTGATTTGGTTTGATGACCCCCCCAAAAAAACTAAGTTAGTCACTGTTATATTGAGATCTGTAGCCGCAGGTGGAGTTTGAACTGTAAGTTTAAGGGTTTACAAAAACAGAGGACGTGTGATTTGTTCATCAGAGCCAGGGTAATGCAATTTTGGGAGAATTATGCTATAAATGAACCACCTTAAATCCAGTATTCAAACAGGTACAGGTCCTCAGCTGTTTGCATTTCTTTAGGTATGCACCTTGCTAGTTCACTTATAAATCCACCCTTGATATCTATGAATTTAAGCATGTCAAAACACACAGGGCTCTCTCTAAATGATCTCAAAGGTCGTGCCATTGAGAGAGAATCCAATATTAAACTAATGTCTCATAACAAAGAAAGATTGGCTACAAAACACTGGTGCATATTTGTGTTTTTCCTCTGCAAGAATGGTTGCATTAAGCAAGCGTGTCCAATCTTACACATGAAAGAGTGTATGCATGGAGTAAGGTGAAACTTTCACCTGTTTCTATGGGAACTTTTACCAGCTAATGTAGTTAAGAGCCGATAATTAATGAGGCAAACTCACCATCACTTAGAGTAAAAGGAAACAGAGCGGATGTTAATGATGTTAGTTCCATCTATGCATTTCCTGTCATAATTTGCTCTGCAGTGAGAAAAAGGCTTTTTGTTGTAGCAGGGATGAAACACTCCCTGTAAGTCTGTGTCTGTACATTGGCAGTTGGCAGAAGATGGTTTTATTGCAGAAAAAGACCACCCCTGTTTGACTTTTGATGTTCCAAAAGGAAAATCTGGGTTCAGTCTGACAGATAGCTCACAGGTATCTCAGCAGTAGTACGTTCAAAAATAACTGACATCTTCTTAACAGGCTGTCAAGAAGTCCCAGAGAAACTTTTAAGAGCATCTTATCTGGACATGCAGGATTCAAGCTGTGAAGCAAAGTCTGTCTGTAAAACCGATATTAGGTCTAGCAGGTACAGGACAGATTAGCAGGTGTTAGCTACTACACTAACACTAGAACCGCCAACATCCCAGTCCATCAAGAACTGCCGAGGGGGATCATTTTGGCCCCTAAGCTCCAACAGCGTCAGTGATGCTACAGTGTCATTTCTAGAAGGTGTCAGGTGACTTTTTCTAATCTTTTATTTTTAATGGAGAATAGGCAAAATAAGTGTTTAAAATATATATTGTGGTGTGTTTTTTTTAAAAGCAAATAAATAATTATTTTAATCCAAAAGGTAAAATACATTTTCAAATTCAACAAACTGAAGGAACTGTTCAACAAATACAAATGATCAATCAATATATTTACAATAACAAAATAACAGATGTCTCTATAATAATAATGATGATAATAATAATTTTAAAAGAACTTATAAGATGGCCTAACACTGTGCTCTCACGCTCATACAATATTTATACGTTTTTACATTCACCAACAAGCTGTAGGAACTGATCAACGAGCAATGAAATGATCAAATAACAATATTTTTACAAAAACAAAATAACTCTATAATAATTCTATAAAATAATATCAATATTAATAATAATAATTGTTATTCTCATAATAATTGACAGCCATATACAGAGTTTATATGAGGGGGTAAAAATGACCCTTCTTGGCAGTTCCAGGTATAAATGGTCGTTTTTATCTTAATTTTTATCCCACCCTCACCAAAATTGACTGAATGATTAATAAATCCATATCAGGAAAAGTCATGGACTTTAAGACAGGGGGTTTATTTTAACAGACAGACAAGCACTTGAAAATAGCAGGGGATAAAAATCAACCCCCTGGCACACTGGGGTGTCTATTACATTGCAATCAACAGTAACATACTTCAGGTTTGTTGATGATCTTGTATAACTGTGAGGAAAAAAATCATTAGTGACGAATAAATAATAACCCACTCAGTGTACTTTTTACCACACAGTGTGCATTCACATGTATATAGTGGCAGTGAAGGCTGTGGAGACTTACACAATAGTAGCAGCTCCATCCAGTAACAGTGTGGGCTGTATCTCTCATCTCCTGCAGGGCCTCTGCACGCAGATAGCCCAGCTCTCTTAGGCAGCCGTCGTGAAACACCCGAGTGCAGATCCTGCAGGGATACAGGTCGTCTGCTGTCCACACCTCACACACGTCACACATCTCATCACTGGGTGGCTGAGGTAAACACAGAGAGATTTCAGAGTCAAGAGCAGGCATCAGTCCAAGAGCAGCAATAGTGCATTCTTATTGTAGTAGCTAGTGGGACCTTCAATGATCATGATCTGTTTTTGACATACTGTTGGCTGTCTAACTTAGAGCCACTTATGACACAGTTCATCCGGAGAAGATAACTGCAGAGTGCCTGCCTTGTTAACCACACACAGAGATGTTCTGTCATCACTGTTTTTTCTTAAGTTTTAATTTAGTAGCAAAGCTGCCGTCAGGGCTGTAGTCACATCTCAGCCGACATGCTGTCTAATTTCCCAAGTCACAGCTTAGTATGGAGTTATGGCCCATCTCTTGTGACCTGGCTCCATTTACAACAAGCTTCCCGCATCATAAGGCCATCACAAACGCAATCAAAGCCTTCAACAGGGACTCGAACTGGTAGATATGCTCATCCATCAACTTCTAAGATGCTGAAATGTGTCCACAAATGAAGATGTACAGAGTGACCCTGCAGGCTTTCAGTTTCATTATGTCACTCTGTCTATACCGTGTTAGTGTGAGTGATAGCATACTGACTTTGGCTTCTTTTAAACTTGGCAGGGCTTATTAATCAAGAATGAGTCCTTGCTCTGTAGATCAAGCATGTACAGAGGAGTAGACCATGAGTTAAATAACGTTGAGGGTTCAACCTCTCAATGTGCTCAGCTACTTACCCATCTGCTTACTAAGGGAGGATTTTATACACAATTAACACTCATTTTTAAGAGTGGTGCTGAACTGAAATCTATGAGCCAGTAGAGAAGAGAATACAGTCTGAAGATGAGCTTAATGAAACACACTAAAGACAAAGTTAACTGCTAAAAGTCCTGTATAGAGCCGATGCAAGATCAGGAGTGTCTGTACAGCCCTTACCAAAAGAAGTATGTTGGAGTGTACTTCAAGTATACTGTTCTTAAACTTAGTATGCTGTCAGTTTAGTTTTTGTGGACTTATAAGAGATAGACTTTAAAAAGTTGATGTTAAATATACTTGGCTTGCACTAAGAATTATACTAAAAGTCTAAAAATACTGTACGTAACCGATACCTATACATAAACTTTTGTTCAAGATATACTTAAGTATGTATTTGTGCCTTGTTTTTAAGTATACTTGGTCAGTGAATACTTCCGTATATCTTTTTAAGAGTATATTTTTATAGTGTATACTAAGCAGTACTAGCCAAGTATAAAAATATGTACTACTATTGAAATAATAGCATACCAAAATGTAGTTTTAATTATACTTCAGAGTCAGCGCACAGATAGCCGAGTGGATTAAAGTGCGCTCTATGTTGGGGACTGTGGTCACCTGACCATGCTGCATGCCCCCCCATCCATCATCTGAGTAAATAAAGGTATGCTTCAAGTGTACTTTTAAAATGTTCCAATTTAATCAAAAGAAGTATTAAATTAGTACACTCTGTAGTGCACTAAAAGCACACAGTCAGTAGTATACTTGATTTACTTATACTCAAGCATACTTAATAAAATTAAATTGAAGTGTACTACTTTGTTCTAAAGGAGTGCTTGGTTTGAAATTGATTGGATGATTTGTGTCATTGCTGCATGTGATTTTCTGTTCAGGTAGATTAGATCCCTTTAGCTCTAAGTGCATTAGGTGTGGACTCGGTAAAAAATAGGTTTGCTGCACATCTTTGGCAAAGAGAAGCAAAAAGATGCCCCTGGGACAGAGTTAGGATCCACCACACTGCCCCCTGCGGAATCTCAAAATTGACCAAATTGGGCGGAGATCTGCTGCAGAGTGTTCGGCGCTCCCTGAACATGAGGCACATGCTTTCTATGGAATTAAGACTTCAGAGTCACTTACAGGAAATATGGAAGGATGTTTTAGAGAAGAGGTCTGCATTAAAAAAACAGCAACAGTGGTCCCACAGTAACCCCTGAGATACATTAAAATTAATCCAATTTTAGCCTGATTGCTACAAAAAGCACTCCATATGCATCAGTCAGTGGGATCGTTTTGGTCGATTCCCACATAATTTATTCTTATTTTTGAAAGTTTAATATCGTTTTTGTATCGTTGTACCTCTTGTTTAACAGCACAGAAAGTAGCCAGGCACTATTTACTCTTCGCAAAATATAAAACCTGATGGTGTCAGTGCTCCTGTGAACTTTAAATCCTGTTAGTCAGCGTCTCCCTGAACGTGGTCACTCTCAGCTCCCCTAGTCAGCCAAAGCAGCCCGCCCACAAGGTGCATACTGTGAAGAGTCCTCACTCACAACAACAACAACAACAACAACAAAAAAACACAAACCTCACAGCGAATGAGGGGAATTAAAAAAAAAAAAAACACTCCAAACTCATCCTTTCTCACCTTCAACAAGGGTGTTTAGATAAAGCTTAGGAGTGCCTTCTCAGTCTGGCTGAACTGCTTTATCATAATGCCTAACTTAGGGGAGGAAAGGAGATAATAAGCTGCTGTTGCCATGGCGATTCTTTGACATCTTGCAGACATCTCTCTAATCCCAGGGCTTGGGGATTTAAAGTGTCTGTTTTGTGAAAGTAGATGGTATTTTTTATACAATCCTGCTTCAAATAACACACTGTCATATTCATCCTCAATGAAACATGCTAAAATCACCAGTCAACAGATGGGTTAGTGCATGATACCTGCTCTTTCTTTTCCAGTTCAATCTCTACAGGTTGATCATCATCTGCCTCCCTTTTGGGCCGCACATAAGCAGGAGGTGTGAGCTGATGGGTCTTGTCCAGATCTTCAGGCTCCACCCCTTTCCCATCCCGTAACCTCGACCAGGCCTCCTGGTTGACCTTGCACTCATCTCTGGCTGAAGCGGAGGCCTGCTGGGATGTCGATGGACCTGCGCCACTTTCCGTTTCTTCTTTCTCTGCGTCCTCTGTCTCTTTTTCGTCAGGAGTGGCTGAAGATTTGGCTTCAGCTTCAGTTGCTTCATCTTCTGCCTGTTTGGCTAAGGCACGGTCCTTGAGGCCTGCTTGAAAGGCAGAGACGACAGCGTTGCATTTCTGCACCTTCTCCACCTGCTGCTTCTTTGACATAAGCACTCCCATGGCTACAGAAGAGAGAAAGAGAGAGAGAAATAGACAGGGAGCAGTTAGACAAGTATACTGCATTTGTAATTTTGACTCGTATTGTTTAAAGATCCACATGTAGACAAGATCCACTTGTAGACAAGATCCACTTGTCTACATGTTCATATGGCATTTTTCTGATGCGAAAAGTAAGTGTGAAATTGCATTTCTGAGTATTTCTGCATTCAAATCACTGTGAATCTTTTGCAGACCCAAACAGCAGGTTCAGATACAGTGAGATTTCCTAGGTAGCAAATCCAAGCTCCGCCCCCAGAGCCCTGCTATGCACTCCAGACTCGGAAAAGTAGAGAGGAAAATCACGAAACAAGCGTGTACATTACTGCATTGCAATTCTTGTAAGAAAGCTAATTATGATGTTAACTTTCATCATGTTCCTAAAGACATTAGTGTCTGAAAACTTAATAGCTCCTATGTTACCTTCCACTTCTACTACACCAGCAGTTTTAGGCTGCAAGCTAACATAAAGAGTGTGCAGAGCAGCGCTGTCTCCGCCCACGACTCAGAGGTGAACTGCTAATGAGCTACTGGAGCTCTGCAGAAGAAAAGCCCTTGAAAATGACACAGGTAACTCGCAGTTTAAAGACCACTGAGAACACTTAAAGAAGTAGAAAATAAAATCAAAGTGGGACTTTAAAATTCAGAAACTAATGTTCAACAATAAAACACAAACTAGCTAAGTAACTGCAGGCTTATCTACAGTTCACTGAAAGACTGAGTTGCTGACTGTTTATTAACAGCACAGATCAGTCCTGAACCTGTCACAGTCTGAACATTAGAATAACTTCAGCTTTAGCCTTTTTGAGTTACTATGGGATCATATTGTGGTTGTCTTGTCTCTGTATTCCATTATAATGTTGTGTTGTTCTAATGTTCGGTTTTGGAGCTGCTTCACATCCTTTTCTGTCAGAGTTCCACTGCTGCACACTATGCCTTTTGTGCGACCATGAACCTCACGATCAGATCAAAAGGTGTGAAACCCTTTAGACAAACTAATTTTCAAGACACAAACATGAAGACAACCTTCAACTACAGCCATGAATCATACATCCACACATGAATGGTCCACTGCATCAGCTAACACTGCAACAGCCAAATACATCTAGGTCTGAGGTCTGTGCTTCAATAGAGACAGGGTTATCTGGCTTCAGAAGAGCTCCGTGCTAAGCATTCACATCCAGTTATCAGCTAGATAGATGAAACTATCTTTGTACTTCTTCATGAGTGCTTTGATGGAAAAGGGGTGTGTTCTTCCAAGAGAATGACCAATCACAGACACGGGCAGTGTTAGAAAAAGGCAGTTTTTTACAAGTTAAGATCAAACTATGAAATCAACATGAAGAAGTTCACACATTATCTAGACTAAAAATATCACAGCAGCTGAATGCAGCATGAAAAGGAGACAGAAATAACTACTGGCAATGTGAGTGTGATCAAGATGTATCGCTTTTGTGGTATTTAAAACAATGGAACAGTTATTTGGTTTTGCAGTCCAAGAATTTGAGCAGTGGCGATTGCTCTAAGACTGCAAGGGAAGCTCGGCTTCCCTTAAAATGTCACCCCCCAAACAAAAGAAAAAGTGGTGAAATACGTTCTACTGTGTGTACATTTCATTAACTAAATACGCGCTAGAAAGCCTTCATCTTTTGTTCAGACACTGTGATAAGAAGCTGATAATTACAGGTAACCGGCATAACTTCGTTCTCATTCATCCTCGCAGCGCCTCAGCGCTGTAAACAGCCGGACGCTGGGCTTCTGCTGACTTCAATGTGGAAGCTTAAAGTGGGTTGTTCCAGCAGCGAAACTAGACGCTCATTGGATAAATGCTGGGCTTTGTCCCGCCCATCGGAAGCCCAGCTTCACTGGAGTTCTATGGCGAGAGGGCGGTCCCGACTTTCTCCCGGACTCCAAGCTTCTGCATCCATGATTGGATGAGCTGTCTGAGGCGAAATCCTTTTTTGATTGACAGCTAAACAAGCGAATCAGCGATCTTGAAGAATAAAACATCTACCAGAGCATTTTCCAAGTCATTCATTCCGTTGTTCTTAACTGCTCCGGAGACTTTACCGATCCTCAGCGACTTTTTTCTTTGTTAAAAACGACTGCCGTTGTGTTTGGCGACTCTGTTCTGTTACATACTAATAAACAAATACAATTATGATGTAGGCCAGAAAAATGAGCTTCCCCTCATTGAAAGACCAGCAGCCGCCACTGAATTTGAGTCTAATCTTACTTATCTTTCCAAACTAGGGAAACACAATAAGGAGAAAGTGAAACCTGCTGCAGCCCAACACAGAGATGAGACCATCAGTCAATGAAAATATTTACTCTCTTTCCGCATTGAGCATCTTTATGTACTCACTCGACACCTTGGGCCCTTTCAAATCTCCCTTATCTCATTCTTTCAGCAACAATGTCCCATAACTCCTATCATCATTATTTGTAGAGGCGGTTCAGCCAGTCCTGTTCCCACATTTCTGTCAGCTCAATTCTACTTTTTCATTACACAGTTCAATCCTCGTGACAATGTAGATACTGAACAGGATGAGGAATTTTGTTCAGAGGACTCAGATGGCAAATATAGAGGTGGAAATCTAAGCATGGGACTCCCAATGCGACAAGTAGCCGTGTTCTCTGTAGAAGAGATATGAGAGATCAGATCCTAAACGAGAGTTCAGAGTTGCTGTTATCATTCCAGTTGGTTCAGTTCTCAGTACATGTGCTTAATGCAGAAATCTATATAATGCATCAATGTGTCTACGGAGATGTGTAATAAATCTCAGAGGCAATGCTTAACTGTGGCTCAAACTCTGAAGGTTTAATGTTTAAAAAAGGCAGTGAATCCTCAGTATGGTCGATGTAAGCAGCAGAAATAAGAGATTCTCCGCTGTAGCCCCTGTAAGCTGACTATTAAACAAACTGAAACTACCACTGATGGCTCAGCATGGAAGGGTGACTTCTTATGCAGCTTTCTAAATTTAAATTCCATCATTAGAATATAAATATAAATGAAGGCCACTCACAGCAGATCAAATCACTGAAGACGTGATTATAGCTTTCCATTGGATCTGTTGGGTTTTCATTCAGAAGTGCTACATAAGGGGTCTTGAATCCTGTCTTTCCCTCGGTCAGGTATTCATGCTGGACTAGCCTTCAACCTCTCACCCATGGGCCAGTAAGACACATGACCTGTTTCCTGGCCTGTAAATTAACTTCCACAGTAATGTCAGAGGGCCAGATATGCTCCGAGTTCAGAGCATCCTGAGGGGATTTACCTTTGATGTGCGTGTGTGCAATATGAAATGTGTGCTTCATTTTAATGATCCCACAGCAGAATACTCATGTGCTGCATCAATCAACACAACCTGCTGAGTTCAGCTCGTCTTTCTGACTGTTCACCAAATGAAATAACCAGAGATAATATAAGATAAGATCGCCTTTATCGGTACTTGAGGAGTGTATTAGCTGCAATCCTCCTGCAGGTTTCCAACGAGTTTTTGAGGGAACACCGTAGGACTGCTAAGCATTTGACAGAAATGCGGAGACTTTTTTTTCCTTTTTTTGACATAAGAATAATTTTCTGATGATGAGAATACATGAGGATGTTTTGAAGTAGGAATGCTCACCATCTCCAAGCCACAGAAACACAAGCATGTGCAAGAATTAAGATGACAGACAACTATCTTGAATCTAAAAGGGACATTGGATTTTCGGAGTTCAAGCTTTAGCTTCCCTAATTTGCAGTATTTAGTGAGGAAATCATGTAAGATGCCTTTAAAGTTATGACTGTGGTCTTTAGTTCTTGTGCTGTTTCTGTGAGAAAAAAAAACAAGAAAACAGATATAGGCCTCTTTAAGATATTTTAAGTGATTGCTTTTTAAACACATTAGGTGAAATCATATACGGTCAGAGAGTGTGTAGTGCAGCCAGGTTAAAAAAAAAAAGAGATGCAAAACTAATTTTGTGATCGTTTCCTCTTAAGTGAGTAACAATTGTGAATTCCATTATTGAAAAAAGGTGCCTGTTATGGATTCAAGTCGATTACATGGTACTTATGGACATGTGTCTTTGCACTCAAATTCAATCCCATCCATCCACGCTGCTCATAAGTGCCTGTGTGAAATTTGATCGCATTTATCCGAAGTGAAATGGGAGTAGTAATTCCCTCTCTCCCTTCCAGGCAAACACTCTAATAGCCTGCCGGGCCTGATGTTCTCATGCTGTCGGTGGACCCATGTTTCATAGACTGTGGAAGAGACAGCACTCCGGCTGATCTGTCTCTTGTTTCATGTTTGAACTATCGAGAAAAAAAACATCCACTGTGAGTGATGGTGAAATGACCCAGATGATTTTGGATTTGTTAGTTCTGGTTTAGTTTTTATTCAAGCAGAAAATCTGGGGCAGAGTTAATACTTTATTTGCTTCTGTCTCTCACCATCTACAGGTTAGTGCTTCTTTTGTAGATAAGGACTCATTATCTGTGTGCTCAATCTTTTTTTAACTAACACTGTAAAAATGACACACTGAATTCCACTCCAGAACAGCAACAAGCAGAGTGAAATCCCCTCCATGAGTGCTGCTGATGGACTCTATTGTCTCTCAGTGGACAATAGAAACAGGCAGAGGAGAGTTGGACAAAAAGGGGACAATTTGGAGATGAACGTTCAGTTGCAGGTCAGGCAAGCTTTCTACCGTGGTTATGTAGACTTACTGCCAAGTATTGCTCTATGGGAAAATTCTCCACCACTAATTGTCCTCCTCAAGGACTACCACTTTATTTTAAAGGTCAGTCCTCCTAGTAACAACACCCTCCTGCAGTCTAATAAATGACACCACCATGATGAGAATATACAATGATTAAAGCACACATATGCAGGCCAGAGGAATACTACAGAGACTGTTACTCTGTCCACAGGAATGACAATCAGCTCAGCAGGTTGTCTTTTAGCATAGATGAGCTGAGGCTGAAAGGCTCGACTATCTTATTTGACAGCAGGAGCCGTTTAATTTAGTGTTCGGCTAACGGGGAAAAAATCATGTAAAACGAAGAATTTAGTGAATCTTACTGTCTTTTTGACATACATCTATTTATAAACAACCTGAAATGAAATCCAATAAATATTAAAACGCTAAATGCTTATGCTACATTTACTTTAGGAGATCATTTGAAGACAGTGAAGGGGCCTGGGAACATGAAGTGGGATGCAAAACCAAGGTCCCAGCATTCATATGGTAGGGATATATTCTCCCATCCTACTTTATATTTTAGAGCAACATTTATTCGTATTAAAATATAATTAGTATAACATTTTACTTGTGTAGACAGCTGGTATTGCACAGAACTGAGTCTGTGTCTATTTTGGATCTTCACATTGTCAAAAACAATGAAGCCAACAGGTTGTAACATACCTCTTAAAGGCACAAATGTGTAGAAATATAAACGTTTAGTGTCATGCAGTAATCAGATGGACAGAAATACCACTTGACTCATCCCTACTGTTGCAGAAGCAAAGTTTCTTCAAGCACAAGGAGCTCCTGTAGCACACGATAAGTATGGTTAGACATCTGTAAATACAAAAACACAAACTTGTCTGGTTTGTCTGCTAGTCGTCTAGTTTTTCTGTTCTAGGCAATAAAAAAAGAGAAAAAATAAAAAACATGACGGTGCAAAATGGTGCCCTTTATGCAGGGGAATCCACTCCTGAGTGGGATATGCATGGCCCATTCAAGGGTGCATATGTACCTTTTAAACGCCACATTATCGCATCACATTGATTCTACCTAGTCTGATCTCGTAAGTGTAATGCAATTTTACAGACTGTACCTTTAAGACATACCACAATTTCCATCAAGGACAAGAAAGACTATCAAAGATAAAGGTCACAACAGAGACAACTGGGAAATCTAAGGAGAGATTATATACAGAAAAAACCATATATTAGTCTAAGCTTCTCAGCTGCAAACTGGGAATGAACAGCCTAGGTGCAGCAGCCAGTCAGACTTGACCGAGGTTGCAGATCTTCTACAGACTTAACTGACAATATAGAAACCAGAGTCCAGGATGGCACAGTGATTATCGTAGGGAAATAATTATCCACTCAAGTGACCTTTGCATTTTGGCTGAGAGCGGTGCTGGCATGGACATCCTTTAGATGCCAGAAATGCCTGTGAGGACCAGCTCATACACTCTCGCCTCTTTCATATGAAGTCTGGGGGGAAAAAAGAGAAGTTTAGAGTTGGATATATTTGTTAAATGCTGCCACAACGGATTCTCAATTACTGTGTAGTGCAGATAATGGCCCACTCCATTTCAAAGGAGATAAACAACAATGAACCAATTGTTCTTTAATGGCAAACAAAGTGGATTGGCTTCACAAACAGGAGGGGGAAAGCAAGAAACATAACAATAAACTAAGCACGATTAAAAGCCCCAAGGTCATTGAATACTCCAACAAATCAATCTCAGCAGTAAATAGCAAATATGGACTTTAATTGTCCTTTAAAAGCCAAGCACTTATACCTCTGCACAGAGCTTCATTTTTTCTCTGTAGCACAAAAGACATATTCATAGATCTGTGGAGGAACAGGGGTTTGCATTCTTCAAACAGAGCTGTAAGTGAAGCAGGACATATCCGAGCGCACAGAAGACCTTGTCATTTTCAGGTTACCTCATGAATTTTAAATAAGGGCTTCAATGTTTTTTTTCCCCTCCGTGCACAAGTTGATTCTGACACAAATGGGTCAGTGCCTGGCTTTGATACCCTAGTTTATTACACAGTGCTGAGAAACCTGCCACTTGGTTGCCTTGCAACTCTGTGATTCTAAAGACCACAAACCCGTCAAATTGTGCAGCTTTTTTTCCTGGATGACTGACAGCAGTGTTTGTGAAGCATAACACCTGCATGAACTTCATACTCACTTTATGTGTTTTATTTAAATCTGTAATAGCACTCTTGCAGTATCTACAGCAAAGACACGCACACTTTTGAAGATCACACTTACAGTCTATCCATGTCAATCAGACAGTTCATTCCAATCTGGCTCCTATTTTAGTTGCTTTTGCAGCATTATTCTGGCAGAGTTAATGACTGAACTGCCTTGATAAAGGTTCATACTTTATGCATCAGCAGCATCTTATCCTCAAAGGCCAGTGTTGTATCACCAGCATGAAGGGTGAGCAGAAGAGCATTTCAATCCAAAACCTGTTCTCTTAAATTCTCAAATGTTCCCCTTTCTACACACCTTACCTTTAAATTAATACATTTCAAGTAACACCAATGATCATATGCATCACCAATTTTAAGACTGATAATTAATAGCTTCAGGTTACCTACCTGGTAGCTAGACAGTCTTGACTTAGTAGTTATCATGTGATTACCAGATAATTTCATGTTGTTACTAGGTAATTACCTGTTAATTACCTGGTAATAAGTGTACCGTAAAAGAAAGCATTACCACATGAACCCCTTAATAATGTTTAAAAATGGAGCTGCACAGAAAAAAGAGGACTTGAGCACAAACCAGGCTACAACCAACTACATGTCAACATCGCAACCAGAGGGAAGAAAAATTTATATTCTGTGTCATTAATTTCTAGAGTTTGTCCACAGCTCCCTTGTTATGGCTGGAGGAGGTAGGATTTATGACCTATATTGCAGCCCGTCACCAGAGGGTGCTGTTCTCGGAGTGGTTTTACCCAGCTAGGAGGCAGACAGCATCCATAGACAGTCTATGGTAACCACTTGAGGCTGATACTTTGAGTACTGCATGGCTACCTCTGGTGCTAACATTAATTCAGTGATAGCAGCAGCTGTAGGAAGCCTTCATTCTTGCCTCATAACAAGTTATAATTAAACTCAGTATGTTTTTTTTTAGGTTTTAATACAAAGAATAGGTATTGCAATGATGTCACCATCATTCAAATACCCCCCAATAACAGCATCACTTCCACGCATCCTTTTCTTACCTGATAACAGCCAAAAGCACACAAGCTAAACACAAGTTATGACTGGTGGCACATTGTCCCCCAAAGTGCCAAATGTATTGAAAAGTTTATTGCCGCCAAGGCTCAACTGTGCCCCAAATTTATCCTCCATATTACATTTGAGGGCGATTCCAGTGGAAGAGGATGGGATAAAAGTCCCCCAGGCTTGACGTTCAGAAGGCTTCAGCAGGAGCAGCTGCCTCTGCTGCTCTGCTCTTCTTCCAGGACCCCTCTGAATGATTTAAGTGCCCCCGGATAAAAAAAGAACTGGACCAAGGGGAGAAAAAGAGGGTCACTTCTTAAGGCAAAACCTGACATATGGCAGAAAAAATGTGACACTGTTAACCTACACTATTGACTGAGAGTATGTCAGAAATTCAATATTTTTGATGTTCCTGCTTAGAAGATCTTTGACGATGCTGTAGTCATCTGTCTTTTAAAGCAGGCCGATAATATTTGGGACGATGAACTCATTTTGTCTCAGAAGTGTGTCCTTTTTTTATTGGTACTTTGCACGAGTCTATTAAACATTTTAGGATCGATATGCAGTCATTCTCTTGATTCATGTAAGCAAGAGAGCGTAAAGATCCCTCCGATGATGAAGCTCTCAGGAGCATCTTGGTTTAATTAATTATTGATAATTTTGGGAGGTAGTGGCACCAAAGTGCTCTTCAAATCCTAGTGATTTTCCTGCTCTTTGGAGTAATGCTTCGCCGTTACCCACACTTCACCCATTTCATTTATCACAAGCAGACCATGTGGGCGAAAGCACGCACACATCTTCTTCTATAGTATAGTTCACAACAATAGCTTCCAACACACCGAACTGGCACTGCATCACTGTGTTTTAGAAAACTCTGAATCCAACTACAATCCCTGCGTGATCTTTTTTTCATCAAATCACCTCATGGCAAGAGCTCAGTGTATAATGCTTAAGCGAGATATGAATCTCAGCTTGACTTGGATCGGCTTTCTCCCGTAAGCGGCTCTATGTTAGAGGCCAGAAGAGACAGCTTAAGGTCAATATTAGTATTCAGTCCACCGCTGCCTAAGTGTCACCGCAGAGATCTAAAAGAGCTCATATAACAGCTATTTATCAGTCTACAGGAAATAGTCCACCACTACCAAAACTTAACAAGCATACAGGCTATAAATAATAATGATCATAATAATATACCGTATAGCACTCTCCTTAAAGCCAGAGTGGATTTTATGACCGTGTTTGTGGTTATTATGAGTATAAACAGGTGCTGTCAAGGATATTACTTTAAAATGAACTCAGTTTAGACAACAGATACAAGTTTAGACTCTCAAGTACAATCCCCTCAACAGATTTAGTCTTTATAAAGACGTCTCACTTTGTGATAGAAGTTCTTTCCCAGCGTTAAAGGTCCATGTGATAGTATTAGCAGCTGTTTACAACGTGTCCTTTTAAACAGGGTTTTGAGTTTGGTTGCACGATTGAAATTCAGCCTCTCAGTCTCTAACCTCGTTATCCATGCAGTGATATCAGCGAGCAGGATGCTACGATAATGAGGTGAGGATTGGTGTAAACGTGGAAAGACACCCAAACAAACGTGGCAAGGGCTCCAGAAAAAGCTGCACCAGTACACTACACATGAAATCCAAAATATAACTATACTCATACTTCTCTTCTTTTATGTGTAAATTGACTTGTAAAGCCACAGTCGCCTCGGAAGAAGCTGAATCAGAGTACTGGTGGGACTGGTTCTGTATCCTGGTATTGCATCACCACAGGGTCCAGTTCCACTGACCTTGTAAAAGTGCTTTCTCTCAGGGTGGGCGACAGAAACTATGTTGAGGCTTTTTTTACTTCCACACTCTCAGGGTTGCTAGGCTTGAGGAAGGCTAAAGAATGTAAGCAGGGACCAGGAAAAATATGTTTTTTCATTATGTGGAACCTTTAACGGTGAGATCTGTTGCCAGGTGCGCTCTTTAAACGCGACCTTTCTGTTACCATTCAACCAAAGGGAGAGTTTTTTGTTTGATTGTTTTTGTTCTTTTTTCTCAGATTGATTTTTGTAGATGGATTGATATTGCTCCAAAAAGAAAAAATCATGATCGATTTTCGCCCTGATCTTCATAGATAAGGACGATCAATTGTACCTTTTCAGCTGCTGTTTGACAGATTGGGATTGAACGTATTCAATTACAAAAGAAACTTTGATCAGTCCCTCACACTCATGACGCAGGAGCACATTTTTGAGCCACTCTTGTTAAACATCCTGTTAGGTTTTTAATTTTCACGTCATGTTAACGTAAAAGGGTGCAGATCTGTTTTTGGCTTTCCTCGCACGATATGTGAAGTGTATGATTCCCTTCCCAGAGCTCTTGGATGTCACCGTCATGTGCTGATTAGAATCCCAACCAGCCTCCTTTTCAATCCCTGTTTCAGAGGAGGGGGGCTGGAATTTTTGAATGGAAGCCCCACAAAGCATGTCTTTTCATGGGGATGAATCCCCCTTTAGCTGGAGATCTCACCCACGGACCAGGGAAGCAAAGACCTAGAACTAATTACGCTAACGAGTTCACCCTGATCCCTGTAATAGTGAGTGAGTGGAATCATTACCAGCTATTTGGGACATGCAGATGGACGTGCACATGGACACAGAGGCAAACAAATCAAACAGAGCCTCAAAATGATCCTCCTTCCCTCTGGTTTGCAGGCTCCTCGCTCATTCAAGGACACACAAATATGTGCATAAAACAACCACACATCTCCCCTGATATTTCACTGCCTCTTCTCCAGCCCTCCTGTCTCCGACTGACCACAACATTCTCCACAAAAAAACATGATATGCTCAAGGTTCAGCAAATGCTTAAGGGGTTTGTGAATGGGCGAACTGAAAAGTCCCTGAATGGAGTGGAAATTTAAATCTCAATGCATCGTTAGGCTGGAGACACCACTTTGGCATTCAGGCTCTGCCAGGCAGAGAGCCAGCGCCAGCCCAACGCTCTGAGAGTCTGACAATAACCACCGAACAGGCGGCGGTGAAGCAGCTGAGCTGCAGGGATCTGTCACAGACTGGGGAGCAGGACTCACTCCAAGGTTAACACTAAAATTGGCTTGTTTGCGGACCTACATGCATTGGCTAAAAGATAATAACAATGGGGGTTGTAAACAAAGACTGATGGAAGGCTTAATGGACAACTGCACTCTCCTGTGGGACAGTTCTGGGGAAAATGGACAGAAGCAGCTGGAGAGAGAGCAAACTACTTATGTCTGCAGCAGAGAGGAGCATCAATTTAGACTCATCCAGCCATGCCATTAGTTGCAGGATGTCTCATTGATACAACTCCCAGTGAGGTTGCAAGCCGAGGCTGCTTTAACTGTAACCTCACTATATGACGTCTGAAGAACTCTAATGTTAGCTGTTTATATCCCACAATGCACTGTTACGAAACGAGAGTGAGACACACAACACAAGGTAGCGTCAGGAGCGATTTAAACTCCTGTAGTTTCTAACGACCGCGACACGCATCCACACCCATGTGGATGTTGACCTAAATATTCTCCCACACAAGCCTCTGCAACAAGGCTTCAAGTGTTTGGTACCTTTACGCGCCCCGTTACAGAAAAGAGGTTTTAAAGAGAATCTAGAGCAGTAGGACATCCAGCATGACAGTTTAGAGATGGTTATGTAACGGACAAAGAAAGCCAAACAAGCTGCATGTTGAACTCACCGTAAAGAGTCGCGGACTGGTCTTCTCACTTTATCCTCTCTGTCTCAAGCCCGGCCGTCCAGCATGGCAAGGTTTTAGCTCGAATGAAGTCTGTGCGCCTTTCCTGGCCCCGCAGAGAGACGAATGGCACAGAGCAGTTTATTATTCCTTTCTCCTCACAGTCCCAGAGAGAGAATTTACAGTCGGAAGCAGCTTCCCCCTCTTGGCAGGAATAAAGACTTCTCCAAGTGTCGTGGACAGCTCCGGTGCTGAAATCTTTCTCCACCCTTCGAGCTACTCCCTCGGCGTCTGAGTGGACACGCGTTGAGGCAGGAGGAGACCTTGGTGCATGCTCGCGGGCGGACACTAAAGTTAGATCACGGATTTATATCTATCATTTTTACAGCCCCCTCCCCCCTCTTAGAAACATTCAGGAGTTGATCGTGATAAGTTATGGGGTACTCAGTCCCGAACCTGCAGCGTCTTGATTGGATGGGACCACCAGGACCCTGCAGTTCTGGAAAAAAAACATGACGCTGGAAAGATGCTTCCACAGCAGCCACTTATGTAACACAAACATTCAGAACCGAACAAGCGGAGGACGGGTGTGCAGCGAGAAGGTTTCAGCCTAACAGAGTCACATTTTTTCGGGAAGAGGAGTGGAGCGAGGGGGCTGGGGATGTTTTCACAGCATGGGGAGCCTGGAGTCTGAATTTCGCATATGTGTGTCATGGAGGCATTAAATGCATGCAGGGCTGCATCTGCACACCACAGATTAGTTTTCCTTTCTAGGATGATGTAAGGGGACAGAAAAAAATGGTAAAAAAAAATATCTAAACATTTAGAATCACTCATGTCTGGGGTGCAAGCCTCAAAGTTATTAACATCTACAGACATTGTGTAAAGTGTTCATAAAGGGTTGAGATGGCCAATGTTTTATTAAAATAGTGAAAATATTTTAAAATCATCATGTTTGTTTGAAGATCAATATGAGCTTATTTTGAACTTTTCAGAACAGTTAGGGCAGGAGGCGTGTTTTCCATCCTGTTCCATAACCTCCTCTTATAACAAGACCCTTAAATTGTTTTTTGGAGCTCCACCATAACCACTCTCTACAGTTTATTTATATTGACTCATTCCTGTCTGATATGCTCAAGATTTTTGGGTCTGCTTTGTCATAATTTTTGAGTCATATTTGACTGCCCTGCAAGGAGGCCAGTTTAGTATCTGGACTCATCTACTACAGAGCCATGCTGTTGTAATTGGTGCAAATGTAAAACTTCTTCCAGTATAGACGGGTTTCTGTGCAACGTCCTCACAGGTATGTATGCGCATGTGTTATGTCCCGTACCAAACATAACTCGCCCACTCTCTTCCAGCAACTGCTTGTTTGTGGGGGTGTCCTGATCGGTCGATCAGGTCTAACTCGGTGTTACGGTGTGTTTGACCATAAGTTAATTTTACGTCAGAATATCCCTTTAATGATGCCATCCCACTTATGAATCTCTATACCAACATGGATACTGGATTTTGTGGTGTTTACGGATAAAAAGCTACATGGCCCCTCCCCTATTTGGAGCAGAGGATAAGGTGTCAATGATTTCCAAAAGGAATGTCAAATTTTGATTTGTGTGACCACTTCTGTAAGTTCCGTCTTCGTTGTTGTTCCTGGGTTATATTTATATATGGTTTCCTCTTTGCACGGTGCTGTTAAAGCCTGCATCTGTGGAGGCGGTGACCAACTGTGTTCACAGACACTCGCCAAAACAAATCCCAATATTATAGACCTCTTTAACAAGACAGTGTTTCCCTTCAGTTGTAGCCAAACACAAAGTATCTCAAATAGTAGAATAAACAGGTAAGAAAGATAAGCTGATTGTGTTTTAGCCAACTCTGTTTTTCACATTTCAACATGGTATCCATCTACATTTAGTCCCATTTTGGAAACATGCCTGCACTGCTCAATAAAACCATACCTCAGACACAACATCCATAAAAGCAGACATAAATCTCCAAGTGGAGACTTATACAGACTTGTATAAAATACATGTTTATGTGGTGCGACAGCTCACGAAGGTAAAAGCTGAGTCAGTATCATTACAGCAGTATGAAAGGCAGCTTCTCTAGTGCCTGTCCACAGAGGGCTGTATGGTTAATGTATGAACAGCTGTATGTCCCACTGTGTTGTTCCATAGCTTGCTGGCTCAAATGGAAGGCCATACATAATTAAAGAAGAGGAAAGTGCACAGTGACCCGTTGGTCTTGAGGTTCTTGGCCTCTTTTCTCAGCAGGAGGAGGAGAGAGGAGAATGGTCAGATAAGGCATGTCAGGAAAATTGACCCCTCACCTACCTGCCTGTGGTCACCTCTGAGTCTTACAACATGAGTGTGGATCTTTTAGTCTCCTCATTTGGGATTGTGAGGCTAGGGAAGTCATTCAATTTGAAAGGACTAAAGCAGTGAAACAAATGCTCCTTTAAATAAACATCACTTAAGTTTGAATGAATAATTCCTAGTATGAAAAGAAGTCATATTGAAGCTTATAGTTTAAACTTTTATTTCCCTTTCCTCACAGAAATAGGATCTAAATGAAGAAAAGGAACAAGTGCAAAGCTGAGCTTTCCAAGGAGGGAGTAGGCTCAGAAAGTAAACAGTAAGGACACAGTCTCTCTTTCAGGACTGCTGAAACGGTTTCAGTGGAGCAGCCTGTCACCATTAACAGTCTATTCACATCCAGTCGCATTCTCGCAGCAATGGCATTCCCATGGATCTGGAGCTGGATTTTGGAGTGCTGCAATCAGTGCCTTTTTAGCGCTGAATTACTTCCCACAGTGAGATGAGAACAAGGGTCCTGATGGCACCTGATTGGCCCCTTCAATTGAGCAGTAATTACACCTTATCATTATATTCTTCCACTTGTTCCTGAGGTGAAATGCTTTCACCGTCAGTGCGCCAATTAAAGAAATGACCCTTATTCAGAGACTGTCATGCTTTTTAATCTCCCCTGTAATCACATCTTGGTTTATGTGGTAGGCAGTTTTTATCCTTTTATTCTATCCATCTTTCAAGGTAAAGAATAATCGAGCTTTAGAGACAGTGTTAAGTACTTTTGAAAAGGTGTTTCACATTCTTTCTGCAAAGCTAACCACTTTCTGGGTGTATTTAACAGAAGGATATTAGAGATGACACACTTGACTCAACAATCCTTGTTTTATGAAAGTGAAACTGTGTGAGAAAGAAACAGACATAAGTTTTAAAAAGCTGAGGAGATGAAAGCCTGACCCTTTTGGATTTAATTATAAGCTTAAATCATCACCTACATGTAAATACAAATACTTAATGAATATACACACACCACATTTTTTAATTGGTGCAATAAAATAATAAATTTGTATGCTTTATTTTCTTCGAACATGACTCGTGTTTAATGTGCAATTCTCAGGTTTCTTCTTGTATGTTCATGTTTCACCGGACATGGGGTTGTATACATGATGCTCAGATGTCATTCCAAACACTCCTGCTTCATTCTCTGTCATGTAAATTATTCATGAACGACTATGGGCTTTATGTGCATAGTGCATGTGTCCCGCCTGTAACTATGCTTCCTCACAGCTTCACTGAGGTTAAATGCACCCAGGAAGCTACTTTTGTCCATGGGACTCAATAGCAGGGAAAATCATTTCAGCACGTCACCAGTCCTTGATCCTTTAACCTCATTTATAATGAGAATCTCGTGGTGTCTCGGATAATATGCTTACATATGAACTAACGATTATACCCCCTTTTGATTGGATGACTAAGAAGAATAAATAAAGTGAGCACTCAGGCTTCTAGAAAGGAAATTACAGTGATGGTGTCGGATCACTGCATGTGCACTAGCTGTGATTGGAATTAAACTTATGTAGGGGAAGCTAGGAATGGTTGTAACACTTTCAGTACAAATGTGAGCAAATTAAACCCCTGTAAAAATATCATTGATCTGATAGGCTGATGCCAAATTAATAGTGTCCTATTGTGACAACCTAACCTACCACTTGGTAGGTTGTAACACATGCTGCATAAGTAGAAATAATTGAACAAAAGGAGAGGAAACAAAGACCACAGCTTGTGATTATTAAGATAAAAGATAAGTCCTGTTTTTCTCACTGCCTTAAATCCACCTTCTCTTTAACACAGGCGTGCTTGTACATGTGTTAATTAGTCTACAACATAGATTGCATATAGAATGGGCGCCGTCTGCCTCCTCACTGGGTGAAGCCACCGTGAGAACAGCACCCTCTAGTGACGGGCTGCAGTATAGGTCATAAATCCCGCCTCATCCAGCAATCTCTATGGAGCTGTGGACAAACTTTAGAAATTTATTACCCAGAATATAAATGTTTCTCCCCCCTGGTTGTGATGTTGACATGTAGTTACTGTCAGACTGGTTTGTGCTCAAGTCCTCTTTTTTCTGTGCAGCTCCGTTTTTAAAAGCTATTAGGGGGTTCATGTTTTCTATGATTGACACTTGATACAGCCTATGGGGGTACGAAGATTGTGTAGCTCACCCGTGGGATACGCTGATTGAGCCGAACGTCATCACAGCGACTCTCTCGCCGAATGTGTACAACACTACTGTGTACAACGTTATGTCGTGGTTACAGGAAGTGGAGAAAATCCTCAAAATACCCAGAGCAATTCAGCTTCAAATCCATATACTAGCATATACCAACAGCCTTACACCAAGACCTGGAATCACCTGTGTCTCCTCTTTTTGCACAAATGCTTACATTTTAAATTAACACCCCTCTCAACTTTAACAGCAATGCTCTAAAAATAGAGGCTGTAATTAACAGGTCTTTGAAGCTTTAGCAGTGTGCACGGTGCTGAAGCATTTGATAAATTACTGGACAGAACAACACAGCGAAAGAGAAACACATGCAGTGTGTGTTTCTGCTGTAACTACAGGCGTGTTCATGTTGATGTTTGGTGAATAAATGCAGACAGTGTTGTTCTGCTTGAGATGCTTTATTTGGACAATTGATGAACCAGCTCGCCTGCTGACGGATTAAACCCTGACAGCTGCTGACACCTCGGGGTAACCATTCTGAAGTCTTTATTTTGGAACAAAGGGGCCAGCATTTTAGTGTGACGACTGAGGGCGTCTCGGCAAGCTGAGCAAAGTCTTTCACATTCACAGACTATTGCACTTCTCAATCTTTGTATAGAGAACTATACTTGTACTTATTGCATTTATGTATTTTTGCTCACTCGTTCTTGATTCTTTGCTTGTTTTATTTGTTTTTATGTCACAATGTACAGCACTTTGGCTACCCCCGTGGTTCTTTTAAATGTGCTATAGAAATAAAGTTGATCACTTGTGTACCATTTCAAAAAATGATTCTCACAGTTCTTAGGTCAAATATTTATATGCGATTAGAATGCGATTTATTGTGATTAATTAATTACAAAGCCTCTGATTAATTTGATTATTTTTTCATAGAGTCCCAGTCCTGGTAAAAACGGAAACTGCTTTCAGGTATTGAACATTGTAAGAAAAAGCATCAATAAGAAATGTGGTCTATTTCTCACTAGAGCTTTAAGTTAAAAGGCATATTTGAAAACCCAGCTAACATCAGAGCACAGCTAACATTAGTATTCAACCACTTCCTAGTAAATGAATTCATTTAAAAATCCCTTGTGGGAATATGGTCTGTAGGTTGGTCTGTGAGAGAACCCTGACTGCTCAGCTGAGGGTGATGAGAGTTCAAAGTGACGCGTTGAAGCCTAAACCATTAGAGTCGAGTTTAAACCTCTTTCTTGAACGGTGTCAGCTGTTGTCTGTTTGAAGCTTATCTGAACACCTTCAACAGTGAAGACGCTCATTAACCGTGCACAGGTGGTTTCACCTGTCATGAAGTGTCAACAAGCTATTTCCAGAGATGTTGGAAAGATCATTAGTAATCGACAGTTGATTAGTTCGGCTTTACAGAGTCACAGGTGTCTGCTGAGAACCTAAGTGTCGAGGCCTCAAAGGAAGCAGGATTGCCGAAACTCTTTCCTCTGTGTGTTCTTTGGTTTCTCAGGAACCCACCGTGCAAACAGAGGAGTATGGCACATGTCAGGATTTGGACTCCAAATGAAGGGTTACAGCTTTGTCGGTGGTTTGCTTTGGCTCTTACTGAGATGCAGCTTACACATTTTCACCATCCTTAGTCATCAGTCTGCCCACCGCAGATGGCTGCATGGCTGCAGGTCACAGCCCATGATCCTCTTCAGCATGAACCACGAACATTTTTTGCATACGTATATTTACAGAGAGGACATATTATTTAGAAAATTGCCATGTATAATCTGAAAACACAGTCTTACATAGCCATGGATTTAGGCCAGGTTTATCTTTAATGACATCTTCTCCTCTCATCATCTTCGTTCTGTTAGGTCAGGATGATTCATGTCATTATTTTGTATTCAGCTCACGCAACTGAACAAACATCTTGAACAAACAAAGAGAGTTAAAGACCAAGAGTCAAAGCGTCTGTTTGCCAAGAGAAAATAACAGCTCTGAATGTAAAATAATCTCTGTGAAGTTGCTTCCCCTGTTGAGAATGATAAGGAATCTTTAAAGTCATATTATTGAAACAGTTATTCAGCCTTGGCTGGAAAGATTTTGACTGCAGGGGTTTAAGGAAAAGCCACAAAAAAGAGTGTCGATGAAACTGAGGCCGGTTTGATGTTACAGCGTGATCAGATTAACTTGGAGATGAGTCAGCCTGGCATCTGAACACAATGTGGTTGAGCCAAGAAGGATGGAGAGATGCTCTAAAACTTCAAATTAATGGGTAAAGAAAAGCTTAATCTGTACAATACTTCATTTTTAATACACTCCCCTGTTTAAAGACTTTCCCCAGTATATTAATCACCCTTTTAATGTGTAACCTCATATTTTCCTGGTGATCAAACACCCTCAGTTTAATACTTATGCCTTTTTATGGCAAAAGCCCAGAGGACACACGATTACATGCTGAGGTTACCCTCTTTTATTTCATTTTTCTTTTTTTCTCTCATAGTTGGAGACGACAATTGTTGCTTGATTACACCATTATCTTACAGTTTCGAATATAATATATAATCAAAATGATGATTATGCCAGAACTATGCTTCATGCACACATAGAAAAGAAGTTAAATCTAAAGTAAGTTGAATCTGTCTTCTATTGCTCCAAAATGCAAATGGGGAGCTGGTCAAGAATTATGCAACTTTACTATATTCAAATTTTCTCCACAGGGATCCATAAAAAGACACTTCTGCATTTCCCCACAGCTGCCTCAAGTGTTTGATGGTAATATTATTTGCTTTCCATACAGGGATCCATGCTGTACATGGACCAGTACTGTCACGGGGAGCGTGGCATTAAAGGCCTTAATCTGGAAAATCTTTTGATGCCAACATCAACACTGTTGCCAGGCAACTGATCATTCATGCAACTGATTTAGCTTTCATTGCAAACAATCAATTTTTCTGTTTGGAAATTTTAGGTGTGGGTTTGAGAATTTGACAAACGGCACAATCGTTGAGTCAGAAGAAAAGCATCGTCTTGTAAAACTTTATCTCTCAGAGGAAAAGTTATGAGTCACGATCGAGCATCAAACTCTCTCTCAGAAAATACAGTCAGTTTCAGAAAATCTTACATTTTAGGCCACATGGTACCTATTGTAAGAAGTTTCTCTACATTTGTTTT